GAAGGCAGTGGCTTAACCCACTGAGCCACCCAAGCACCCCGAGAGAGAGAGACTTAAGAAAACTCCATACTTAGCGTGGAGTCTGACTCGGGGCTGGATCTCATGACCCTGAGCTCATGACCTGAGCCAAAATCAAGACTCAGATACTTAACAACTGAGCCATCCAGGTACCCTGAACCATCCAGGGTATCCAGGTATCCAGGTACCAAGTTCCTTTCTATTTCTAGTTTGCTGAGAATGTTTATCAGGAAAGGATGGTTGATTTTATCAAATGCTTTTTCTGTATCTATTGAAGTGATGCTACAGTTTCACTTTTTAGGTTTGTGATGAATTTCACTGAATGATTTGTGAACGTCAAACCAACTTTGCATTCCTAGAATAAACTCCACTTCGTCACAATGTATTATCCTTTCTATATATTTTTGATTTAATTTACTAAAAGTTTGTTTAGAGTTTTTGCATCTATGTTGATGACAGTTATTAATCTATAGTTTTCTTATAATGTTTCTGTTTGGTTTTTATATTAGAGTAATGCTGATTTCATAGAATGAATGAGGAAATATCCTCTCTGATTTTCTGGAAGAGTTTGTTAGTGCTTGCTATTTTTTTCTTTCTGAAATATTTGGTAGAATTCAACAGTAAAGTCATCTTGTTCTGGAGGGTTTTTTTGTAGGAAGGTTATTGACCATATATTTAATTTTTTTAGAACATACAGGGATATTCCAGTTATCTATTTCCTTATAAGTGAGCTTTGGTAGTTTGTATTTTCTTTTTTTTAAAAAATATTTTATTTATTTATTTGACAGACAGAGATCACAAGTAGGCAGAGAGGCAGGCAGAGAGAGAGGAAGGGAAGCAGACTCCCTGCTGAGCAGAGAGCCCGATGCGGAGCTTGATCCCAGGACCCTGGGATCATGACCTGAGCCAAAGGCTGAGGCCTTAACCCACTGAGCCACCCAGGGTCCCTGGTAGTTTGTATTTTCAAGAAATTTGACATTTTATCTAAGTTGTTGAAATTGTTGGCATAAAACTGCTTACAGTTTTAACTGTATATTTTTAACATCTGTAGTATCTGTTCCTCGGTAACTTTTCACATTCCGGATATTTGTAGTGTATTCTTTTTTCTTTCCCAATCAGTCTGGCTTGAGATTCTTTTTTGCTTTTTCTTTTTAAATCTTGTCAAAGAGCCAACTTTTGGTTTTAAGGAATTTTTCTGTTTTCTATTTCATTGATTTCTACTAATATAACTATTATTTTCTTTTTGGAATTACTTTGTATTTTTTTTGTTCTACTTTTTCTAGTTTTTAAAGGTGAAAACTGAGGTCATAGTTTCAAGATCTTTCTTCCTTTCTAATATAGGCTTTTACTATGGTAATTTTCCCCATAAGTACTTCTCAAGTGGTATCCACAAATTTTGTTAGGTTATATTTTCTTTATCTTATAGTACAGAATACTTTCTAGATTCCCTTTTGGTTTCTCATTTGACCCATGGCATATTCAGAAGAGTTTTATTTAGTTTGCAAATATTTGGGGATTTTCCAGATACCTTTCCATTATTTATTTTTCTAAATAAATAGTATTTATTTATAATCATAAAAAATTATAATCATAAAAAATTACTATTTTCTAAATAGTAATTACTTTATGACAGAGAACATACTTTGTATGACTTGAATATTTAAATTTATTGCAGCTTGTTTTATGATTCAGAATATGGTCTATCTTGGTAAATGTTGCATATGCACTTTAAAAGAATGTATACTCTGTTGTTGGGTAGAGTTCTATAAATGTCAGTTATATAAAACTAGTGGATAATGTTGTTCCAATCTTCAATATCCTTACTGATTTTTCTGTTCACTTATTTTCCAATTATTGAGATGTAAGTATTGAAATCTCCATATATAATTGTGGTTTTGTTCAATTTTCCCTGCAGTCTTTTTTTTTTCTTGCTTCATTTGTTGTGAAGTTCTGTTATGTGCATATTTAAGACTGTCATGTGTTCTTGATGAACTAACACCGTTATCATTGTGAAATACCATCTTTATTTCTTCTGTTAAAATCTGCTATGTCTGGTATTAATATAACCACTCAAGCTTTTTTTAAAATAAAGTTTTTATGGTATATCTTTTTCATCATTTTACTTGTAACTTGTCTGTGGTTTTCTGCTTTCTTTTCAATGAATTGTATTTTTTTTATTCCATTTTATCTCTTGTTGACTTATTAGCTATAAATCTTTTTGAAAACATTATTTTAGGAGAACCTGGGTGGCTCACTTGGTTAAGCATCTGCATTTGGCTCAGGCCATAATCTGGGGATCCTGGGATTGAGCCCCACATCAGGCTTCATGCTCAGCAGGGAGCCTGCTTCTCTCTTTCCATCTGCCTGCTGCTCTCCCTGCTTATGCACTCTCCCTCACTCGGTCAAATAAATAAAAATCTTAAAAAAAAAAAAGAAAATGCTATTTTATGCTTGCTTTAGGATTTGTCGTATACATCTTTAATTAAATAAAGTCTATCTTTAAGTGATATTATATCCCTTCATATAGTATAAAAATCTTCCAACAGGATAACCCATTTTTCCCTTTTCAGCCCTATGCTATGTTTTCATGCATTTTATTTTTTTATATATTGTAAACCCCACAGTATATTGTTACTGTTTCTGTTTAAATAGTCAATTACCACTTAAAGAGATGTAAATAACATGAAAACCCATCTTATATGTTATACTATATAATTACTGTTTCCAGTGGGACATTTGCTGTCATTTTTATCTTTGGTCCTCTTTTCATAACATGTTCTTTTACTCTGGCTGCTTAAAAACTTTTCTCCTTATCACATGTTTTAAGCAGGTGGATTATGATGTACTCTAGTGTAATTTTCTTCATGTTTCTCATGCTTCAGGTCATTGAGCATCTTGGGTTTACACTTTCATCAAATTTGAAAAAAATTTCCACCATATTTTATTCAAATACTTTGTTTTCCTCTCTCCTCTTCTTTAAGGGGTCCATTTACATGTGTATGAGGATATTTGAAATTGTTCCAGAACTTACTAATGTTCTGTTTTTTTGTTGCTTGATTGATTATTTGATTGATTTCTGTCATTGTTTCATTTTGGATAATTTCTATTTCTGTCTTTAAGTTCGCCAATCTTTTCTTTAATGTGTGATCTTCCTTTCATGTTATCCAGTGTCTTTTCTCACACAGTCAAGTTTCTTCTCTAGAAATTTGGTTTATATCCTTTCTATATCACCTATAGCTTTCCTTATATTTTTATTTTTTGTTGTTATTATTTTTATTCAAGTATAATTAGCAAACAGTGTTATATTAGTTTCAGGTGTGCAATATAATGATCAAATAGTTCGACATTTCTCAGTTCTCAAGATTAACTGTACTCTTGATCCTCTTTATCTGTTTCACCCATCTTCACCATGTACCTTCCCTATGGCAACCACCACTTTGTTCTCTGTATTTAAGAGACTGGGTTTTTCTGTTTCTTTCTCTCTTCCTCTCTTTTTGTTGTTTGCTCATTTGTTTTGTTTCTTAAACTCCATATGTGAGTGAAATCATATGGTATTTGCCTTTTCCCTGACTTATTTCACTTAGCACTATATGCTGTAGGTCCATCCATGTTGCTGCAAGTGGCAAGATCTTATTCTTTCATGACTGACCAATATTCCGTGTGTGTGTGTGTGTGTGTGTGTGTACCACTTCTTCCTTATCCATTCATCTTGGGCACTTTGGCTGCTTTCATATCTTGTCTATTATAAGTAATGCTGCAATAAACATAAGTATGCATATATCTCTTCAAATTAGCATTTGTGTATTCTTTTGGTAAATACCCAGTAGTGGATCATATGGTAATTCTTTTTTAAATTTTTTGAGGAACCTCCAAACTGTTTCCCACAGTGGCTGACCTTGTATTTTTGGACATGTACAATATAGTTATAACTGTTTGAATAATCTTCTTAAATTCTAACTTCTATATAAGTTCTGAATCAGTTTCAGTTGATTGATTTTTTTCTCATTAAAAGTTCTATTTTCTGCTTCTTTACATGCCTGCTACTTTTAAAATTGCATTGTACATATTTACACTAAAAATGATTTGTTATTTATCTGAAATTTAAGTTTACCTAGGGATCCTGTATTTTCCTGGCAGCCCTAGATCCTTGTGGCTTCTCCAGACTCTTCTCTTTGTCTCCTTGATTTGGGGAATCCTGTAGACTGTGCCTGAGTTCTCACTCACTGTGCTGCAACCTGACTCTGTCACAGCAGTAAGCTGGTGCCACGTAGGACTCATCTTCTTTGTCCCTGGTCTCTCAGGGATGTCATTGTATTGAAACCCAGTCTTTTGTATACTTTGTCCATTTTTTTGGTTGCTTCACCCAGGAGAGTAAGTCTGGTTCCTGTTACTCTGTCTTGGCTGAAGGTAGAAGTCTCTCTCCAGAGGTTATTATTTTTAGCCAGAGGCCAAAACATGGTGCTGATGAGGGCCAAACCTGTGTGTTCAGTCCCTTCATAGGAGAGTTTGTTGGCTTCGCACCATAATTTTGTGCAATCAGCTACCTAGAAAAAAGAATGTTTTGGATCACAAGTGGTACCTGGTGACTGTGAAGATGATTCAACACAGTTGGGAAACTGGTTAGAAGTGCACATCTTCTAATAGGGAAATGGGGGGACATGGGCTTATTACCAAATAAAAGGATAAATCAGCACACTGAATTATGTTACATTACTTGTCAGATTTTGGACCAAAAGATAGGTGTGGCTGAAGGTCAGTGCTCAAGGGATTGGATGCTAATAAGTTTGGAGGCAGGGTCAGGGAGAAAAGGCTGAGAGAATCAGGGTGATCAAACTGGGGTCATAGAAAGGCTTTGAAAAATTTAAGCCCCCTGCTTCCCTGTCCAGTAATCAATTACGTTATTCCTAAAAGGGGCGGGGGATCTTCAGAAATAAGAAGAAAAATATTTCCTCTCTTTTTTTCTTTGGTTTCGCTTGGTCTAGCCATATGCCGCTATCCTTTGGGCATGTCAGGAGGCCACATTCCAGATGAGGACATCACAGCTTCCAGTCAGTGGTCAGAATCCACAGCTGCCAAATATGGAAGGTGAGGATGGATACCCCAAGAAAGCCTAAATCCTGAGTTGGGTACATTTTCTGACTCAAGGGACTGGGGAAGGAGGGTGGTATTTAATGGGACCTGGGAGGCGTGAGGGAAGAAAATCAAGTGGGCCTGTCCTCTTCTGTATGTTTTCAGAAAGATAATTCAGGGCTGGGCGCCATGTGCTGGTCTGGCAACCCCATCCCAGTCACAGGGCCTTGCACGACACTACCCACAACAGATGGGTTCATTGATATGCAGTGGATCTGCTTTACTCACCTTCTCACTGTGAGCAACTGCAGGAAGCTGGTGACAGTGGTAGGTAGGGGAAGATGCAGATGAGATAGGACACTGGGAGCTAGGAGACTCAGTCCTCCTCTCAGTGGGTTTCTGTGAAACATCACTCAGTGCAAAACATCAAGGCTTTCAGCATATGATGAGGCCTCCAATAAATTCTTCCCTTCTCTTAAGGATACCTCATAGAAGGGCCATCCTCATCCATAAAGAGTATGGTGGGTTCCTAATGGCCTAATAGCAGGGGTCCTCTAAAACAATGAACTCCCTTGTCAAAAACTAGTCTGCTTGTTAGGGCATAATCCTCCTCCTCCTGGAATCTAATTCTTTTGGTGTAAAATGTTGGTTTCTGTTAAAATGGAATCACCCGTAAGAAAAGTAACCTCAATAAACCTTCCCCATAATCTCTTAGTATTTGAAAGATGAGAATGATGGTTGGTGGGGTTGGAAGAAAACAGTGATGAGTAGGTGACATCTGTGAGAAAAGGGACATTTCAGGGAAGAGGAAAAGTGGTAAGAGGCTCCCAAAATAAACCTTATACTGATTTCACAATTTTGTTCACTGATAGCTCAGCTTGGAGGTAATAAAATGAAAGCGGATTATTTACTGCTCCCCTGACACACTCCTGCCCCTCACTCTCATTATGGGTTCCCATGGCTTTTTGCTGGGCTGCTATGCCCATCCCGTTGGTTAAAATTCCACTGTGTTACTTAACCCACACTGGGGATCTTATGATCCCTCCCTCCTCCTTCCTATAACTTGATATCCAAGCAAGGAGTGGCCACCCTTGTTATGCTGGGGCTGAAAGTGGAAGGGGGTGGTAAAATGACTCATGGGGGAGTATAGGGTAGAAAGGGTTTCATTTCCCTTGAGGTCTTTAAATCAGGATGAGAAATAAAGACTAAGTCTGATCTGAAGGCCTCTAGACCCTGGTGGTAAGTGTCTTTCTCAGTTTCATAGTGCCCCAGGGCCAGGGGACTGACCACAGGTGGTGGCAGTCAGGCTTGAGGGGAGACCCGAAGAATCTTTTTAAAGTGGGGTTGCAGCCTTTTCTCTCCCCTCAGGACAGGGCAGCTGCTTGCTGTGGATTGGTAAACAACTCTGGTTTCATGGTTTCTCTTTGTCTCCCCAACCCTGTGTCTCAAGGCTGGACTCAGAAGAAGGGGATGGAGCCTGGTGCCCTGAGATTCCAGTGGAACCCGATGACCTGAAGGAGTTCCTACAGATTGACTTGCACACCCTGCACTTTATTACTCTGGTGGGGACCCAAGGGCGCCATGCTGGGGGCCATGGCATTGAATTTGCCCCCATGTACAAGATCAATTACAGTCGGGATGGCACTCGCTGGATCTCTTGGCGGAACCGGCATGGGAAACAGGTAGGAAGAAGAGACATCCAGACCCTGAGATGTCCAGGACCATATTTTGACTTAGGCTAGAAGAGGAAGTACACAGGCTGTCTTGTAGGTATGTGCACACACAGACCTGGCATGCCCTTACCCATGTGGGACCAAGGATGAGGGAGGGCAAGGTGGGAGGACCAGGAGGAATATCAAGGTTGCTGAGAAAACTGAAAGGATACATTCTGCTCCTTCAGTTCAAAAGAGAGGGTCCCTGAAAGGGTTGATGAGGGAGAGTCAGCATAACCTCATAGCATCTTTCCTCCCTTTCTCTTCTCTTTCCTCAGGTGCTGGATGGGAATAGTAACCCCTATGACATTTTCCTAAAGGACTTGGAGCCACCCATCGTGGCTAGATTTGTCCGCTTCATTCCAGTCACTGACCACTCCATGAACGTGTGCATGCGGGTGGAGCTCTATGGCTGTGTCTGGCTAGGTAGGTTTCCAGAGAGAGAGAGAGAGAGCTTATAGATCTTATTAAAACCCCCAACCCCTGGAAAATAAAGGCAAACAAGTCAGAAAGATATGGGATTAGTCATCTCTGGAGTGAAGTGATTCCTCTAAGCTCAAGCCAAGAAAGGACATTGCTCCTTCACCAACATGTGGTGCTCTATACATTAAATGATACAATCTGAGTCATTTCACTGACTGCCACTGAGGAGTGCTCCTTGGCAGTGCTCCCTTTGTGCCCAGATTGAGTTCTGTGCAGACATATTGAACAAGATTTCACCCCTGAAGTCTTGTGTAGCTCCCTGGGATAGTTGGTCTAACCAGTGGGTGCCTCTTCTTCCTAAGGCACTGACACACCTGTTTCCTTGGCAGATGGCTTGGTGTCTTACAGTGCTCCGGCGGGACAGCAGTTCGTACTCCCTGGAGGCTCCATCATTTACCTCAATGATTCTGTCTATGATGGAGCTGTTGGGTACAGGTAAATTCTGGGAAACTTTGGTCATCAGAATGGAAAAGTGGCCACTAGAAGAGAATAGCATTTTATTATGGTTTCGGATTAATAATTAATCAACTGGTCAACCAACTGGTGTTTATTTAGACCCTGTATTAGGCATTGTGAGATAATTTAGATGAAGTAAAATAGGGACTCTTTATTTGCAAGGAACTGAAGTCCTAGTTTGGGAAGACAGGGGAACAATAAATTACACAAAGTAAGAACTGAAATTGTGGTATAGTTCTAAGTATGGTAGATATATATAGATATGTATCTATCTATCTATATATATATATGCCCTTAAAACAGGACATATGGTCTGACACAAATAATGGCCTACTTATAGAGATGAAAGGCCAGAAGAACTGAAGTTATAAGTATACTAAATTGGAGAGGTCAAGAAGTTCAGGAAGACTGTACCCCATAAATGGAAAAGCTTTGGAAGTCATGAAAAGGAGACTCATAAGGCTTATGATAGACAAGGAGAGTTTCTAGGATGATATGATTTAGAGCAGAGGAGGTGGGCAGAAAAGTGCAAAGGAAAGGGAACAAGACTGAGGACAGAAATGGTCTGACTGTAGCAGAAGCTCGAGCTGGGAGCAGCAAAGAGGGCCAGTGTAGCCCTGAAATGGGCCTATGGAAGGCCATGGTAGAAGAGTCGGACACAGTAATAGGGCTGGATGAGAGACGTTCCTCCTATATCACTTCACTCTGAGCCTTGCCATTCTTCTTCTAGTCCACTTTGACACTTTTCTCTCTCTCAGCTTGGTCTTTGTCTGCAAAGATTGCACCTGGAAGAGAGATTGAGTCCAGACTAGAGGATGGAGGTTTCTAGTGGTTGAGAGAGGAAGAAATTAGTCTCCAGAAGGGGAGTGAGGGATTATAGGACATCCATTGTTTTAGGTGTGAAGAATAAACTCCTGACCCCCATGCCTCCCCCCACCTCCCGCAGCACCCCGGCAACGGTCATCCCCTCAGTGAAGACCTGACTCACCCAGTATTTGATTTCCAGCTACTTCCTTTCCATCTGCTTAGTCACTGTTGTTTTCTGTTCACTCAAACTGTATGGGCATCATTTCATTTAGCCACTCCCCAGCTGACATTTACTCAAGGTATAGAGGAAATTGAGATCAATTGAATTCATTTTAGATTAATAAATCTTTGCTAACCCATTCTTGCTACCTCCGATGAATTTGGCCAGACGTGGTAGGTATTCAAAAATATAAGGAAGTCCTGGATCCTACCTTAAAGAAGCTCCCAATTAGGAATGGGGACTAGGGCAGGAAAGCACAGCACTGGGAGTGAAAACACCTGGATTCATGTCATGAAAGTTATTTCCATTTCCTTAAGTTATAAAAATGTATAAGAAAAGCATTTTTTAAAGGTAAAGTGCTACATACATGTAAATTTTATCTGATTTGGAAAACCAGCAAAGATATGATGAAATAGCTGAAACTAAAGTGGGCCCCAAAGGATGGGTAGAACTTTCACTGGTAAAGAATCTTGAAATGGCATTTGAGGCAGAGTGCATAGCATATCAACAAAAGAATCACACTTAAAGTTTAGGGAAATGTCTGCCAAAGATCAATCATTTAGTTAACCATCAGCGATACTTATGTAGCAAAATAGTAGATGAGAAGCATGATTGGGCAGATGATGTCGTATTTTGGAGGAACTTGAATGTCAGGGCCAGGAAGAAGAGGAGGAGGGGGAGTTGTTTTTTTCTTCATAAATATAACCATCAACAGGACAAGTCATTGAAGATTTTTAAAGCTGGAGAAGGACAAGATTGGAACTGTGCTTTAAACAGATTAATCAAGCAGCTCACAAAGGTTAGATTTGAGTCAAAAGAGGAGGTGAACTCTGTCCAATGAAAACAATGAAGGACCAAGGCCAAAATGATGACTGTGGGAATGGGAGGAGGAGACAGTCACATAGGGACCATTTGCAATCTGACTGGGTTTAAGTGTGAGACAGTTGGGTGAGGAAAAGAGGTAGATGAAACCTTGGGTTGGCATTTATTCATCAACAATCATACTTTGGTACATATGGTGTTCCAGGCATTTTCACTGAGCCACTGAGTATGAAAGAATATAATGGGCAGAAATGGGAAACTTAGGTGAAAGATTTAGTTTAGAAAGGGGTAGTGATGGATTTAGTTTGGGATATAAATTTAAGGGAATGGCAGGACATTCAAATGGGTAAGTAAGGCACTGTTAACAGGAAAGGTGAAGGGAAACTGCAGAGATTTCAATACAATCACTTTCCACTTGTTAACTGAGATAGTGAGGTTATCTCTATGGAGCGTGCCTGGGTGATGAGGTGTAAGCTACCTGATTCAGAATCTTGGGAATAGATAGTTTTAATAGTAAAAGTTACCTTTTTTTAACTAAAAAAATTACAGAAGTAATACATGCTTGTTGTAGGAATTCTAACAATCTAAAGGATATGAAGTAAACCAGGAAAGTTTCTTTCCTTACCCATCCCCATTTGATTTAATTTTGACTAAAAGAAATTAATTTTTCATTTGTGTTGCTTTTCTTAAGTTTCATGGGGATTTATTATTATTGGGACAATGGGAAATATATTTATTGCAAGTAAACTTATGTTCTCCTAGCCTTCTGATCTGTAGAGAGAAGAAAAAGATGGCAAATCCTTGGAAGGGAGATCCAGGCTCTGGTCACTGTGGATAAGGCCAGTCAAATTTTATAATTTGCCCAACATTTTTCAATGAATAAATAAATTTAAAAGTGTATCTGTAAGGCTGGCATAATCACTCAATTTTTCTTTTGTGAATCCACAACTTTTACATAAACTCAAGGGGCACATGTATTATTGCTTGAGGGTGAGTATCCCAATCTCTTCATTTGAGAGACTCCTGGCTTATCATTTGAGCTTACAATGCAGAGCATGAAGAGAGTGGAGTCCCAGTGGATGAGTTCTTGCTCTGTCTCTCCATAAAAAGAAGGCCAAATAGAAATAGAAAGCTAAAAATAATAGCCAAATTAACATAAATACACAATCATCCCACATACCAATCAAGAAGAGCCTTACAATCAGAAGTGGAAAGCATGCCAATCTAGAAAACAAAACTAAATCCAATGCCTGAAACCCTCAAGTAATTCATGTGTTCTATTCTATGAATCTGTATCCTACCAATTTAATTAAAATTACATATAAATTAGTATTTAAGTTTGGCATTGATGACTTTTTCCCCCCTTTAGTTTGACATCAAATTGGAATGTTGGATGTGGGGTAGAAGAGGGCATGACTGGCTTCTGTGGAATTGATTCACTGAAAAACGACAACATACAGTCAAAGGAGAGTCAGAAAAATTTCCAACAAGCTCTGGGACTATTTATTGAGTGATGGTCAAGTGCTACTACCTACTGTAGTGTTCATTCTATGCATGCATGCATCCATTCATTCATTTACTTCTTAATGGATTAATTAATCAAATGCATTTGATAATACTGAGTTAGTATATAAAAACATTACATTCAGTCTACAAGAATAGGTAAGGATGCAATAGATTATAGAAAGCTTTTCTTATAAAATGATAAAATATTATTTAAAAGCTTGGCTACTAAAGCAGTAAGCATTAAGTATTTTGTAAAATTCATTTATATGAAATTCTTTGTTCTCCATTGATGCAGGATGAATGCATCAATGCTATAAAATATACTGGATTTTTCATAATTCTTCAACCTTCAAGATAATCAACTCTTACAAAACCTGGGGTGAAGAAGCTGGGTATAAAAGCTCTTCCGTGAACGTGCAATTAATTCCAGGTTCCTCTCTCCCTTTCCCTTTTCTTCCCCTGGCCTGAGCAGCATGACTGAAGGGTTGGGCCAGCTGACAGATGGGGTATCTGGCCTGGATGACTTCACTCAGACCCACGAATACCACGTATGGCCGGGCTATGACTACGTGGGCTGGAGGAATGAAAGCGCTCCCAGTGGTTACATCGAGATCATGTTTGAATTTGACCGAATCAGGAATTTCACGACCATGAAGGTCAGTGGTGTTAGGTGTGGTGGAACATGTGCAGAAGCCAAGATAATGGTGTAGTGAAAAGGCATGCTAGAAAGAACCTTGGGTGGTGTCAGCAGAACTGGATTCAAATTGTTATTTCTCCACTAATGAGCTACATGCATTTCCAAATCACTTCATCTCTGGGCTTCTTGCTTCATTTGTAAATAAGGGGGTTAGACTAGGTCACTATTTCTCAATGTTTTCTGTTATTGTTCCAACATCAACGTCTACATACCATTAGGCACAGTGGATCCAGTGTCTAGAGCCCACAATACTTTGAAGGCCTATGGAAATATTTTAACTTCTTTTAATGTCAGGGGGAAAAAAAGAGCTTTTAGGGTCAAACATAATTTTCATCTGTTTTAACGACACAATTTCAAAATACAATTTTAATTTTTTATGGAGGGAGGGGCTCACAAAAGCAAAAGTAAATAGAACCCATGGAAATCATTTTATGGCCCTGCCCAATGCTCCTGAGGGACATGCTTTTATCAGTAAGGATGGCTCATTGCCACTCTAATTCTCAATGGAAGAATTGAGTATTTTGTATCTTGTCTTTGAAATCACTTTCCACACCTATCCTGTTTCTTCTATTCCGTGGTCACTGTGAAGTTATGACAGGAGGCTCCACACTCTTCTGTTTCCAGAGGTCTTTGTTTCCTTATCTCTTGAAATAGCATATCTTCTGTCTGGTTGTCCTACCAGATTTCATGCTCCTCCAACTGGAACTCTAAACTTGAGGAAAAACTGGGGCTTAACAGTGGAAAGTCCTTTTATTGAGTGTAAGGGAGACCCCTGAAGTTTTTGTGGTCCATGTATAACTCTTACTGGTTTATTGAGGAGCATGAGAGGACACCAGAATGAGGCCCAAGAGAGTGGGCACATGAATTTGACCTCACACATGGACTCCTGTTCATCTGTTATTTTCTCTCTTCATAGATGGGTACAGAATATTAATGGCCAACAGATTGGTGATGCTGCCTCTGTCTAAATCCTCTTGGGATGATTTGCCGTTCAGTGGGGGGAAGGCACCATTTATTTGCAAATGGAGATATGTAGGATGAGATGAGGACCCAGAAGAAGGAAATCTTTGTTATCTTTAAAATTTGTTATTCTTGGCACAAAATGGGAGTCAAAGAGGAAATCCATGTCTGTTATATTACCCTCATATGTTAATGTGATTATGTCTCCTAACTGGATTAATAGCTATTAGTTAAATGAGCAAACGTTTAGGTTGAGAACAGAAGGATCAATACAGGCCCATCTGCCCTTATATTGTTCAAGGGTGGCTTCTTGGCAGTTGTAAGAATGTAAGTGTGTGCAGTTGTGTGTCTAACACTTAGCCTTCAGAGGGTTTTCTGGAGGGGGGAGGGGAATTCGCATAGTGCCAAATATCTAGCTCCGGGAAAATTTATTTCTATTGCTGAATAGTGAGATAGCCACATGCACCTATGAACAAATGTATCAATTCACACAAATATACCATTGGGGTAATTTTTAGTCTCACAAATAATACAATGTATTTTAAACTCTCCACAAAGTTTTAATATTTAGTCAATAGACCTTGATCTCCCTGAGTCCCCTGTAGCTCTGTCTAATTAGTTTATCACAGGTCAGAATTATTCAAAAGCGTATTCTGCAGTAAGCAGTTACCAGAATCTTCTCTATCTTAGAGTCCATCCTCTCGAGGCCAAACAAGCCTCTAGTGTATTTTAATTTTCCTGAGACAAATAAAATATTAAAAATGACTTACAGGTCGCTAACATCTTCTGGAAAGTAGTTATTAGTTTCTAGGCAAATTATTGTCGTTCCCCCTGCCCCTTAAATATAGTCAAAATATTCTATTGAAATATATTACTGTCCTTTTAAAATGTATTGTACTTATTAAATAAATGTGTTAAGTCCACAGGGGAATGAAATTCTATACTATTTATTTGCATTCCAGGAGAATTCCCAAAACATCTGTAGGAGAGATTATTACCTCCCCCACAGGCTACTTATCCAACACTTTGCAGATTGCAAAAAAATCTGAAAAATCTATTGAAGCTGTAGATGGTATTTTTTTTAGATTTTTTTTTTCTTAGCCTTGCTCCATTGACTTGTGCTCAGTAAACTGGAACAGCTAATTCATCCCAAGGAAGATACTAACAGATGTTTTCATTGTTAAAATATTTACAGGAAAATCCAAATGGAGAAGTCAAGGTGACTTGTTCCATTTCTGGGTGGCGTGGTATTGGTGAGGGCACTGGACCAGGAGTCTAGGGTCCTAGACTCCATTCTGTTGTTGACTGGCCATGGGCAGGTCATACCTACCTGAGCACTAGCTCATTAGAAATAGAGAGTCAGAGTAGGTGATTTTATTCTATTCTTTCAGAGTATCTCTGCTCATTTCTTCGATCATAACATTTCTACAATCATTGCCGCTGTTTCTTTAGCTAAACATAAATTCTGAACAGTAGTCCTGTAGTTGCTCTCCAGAACACAGAGGAGGGTATCAAAGACAGTCAAAGGCTTACAATGCAGGGCCTAAGCAAGACATTAAAATGCAAATAGCAATTATCTTCCCAGAATGGCAATGAGACATTTCCAGCCTATGAAGTCTTTTAATTCAGGGGCTTGAGACCAGCACAGCTCCATTTTCCACGTACAGCTGAGCCAGAGGAAATGTCAGTGAACAACCACGAGGGACCTGACCTAGTTACAAATATGCACATTCCATTTCTGAAGGATGTTGAGCACACAAAGGTGCTCCAGAGGAACTGTTGTGGGATCTTTGTTTCTTATGACCCTTTTACAAGCCATACAAATATCCTGGTGAAAGTGTCAGGGCAGTGGGGAAGAGAATGCAAGCTACTTTCTGTAAGACCTTTTTTTCTCATCTCAGAAAATATCCCTGAGGAAGATCCCATGTCCTCATCAGAATGGCATTACCTAAACTGAACTTCATCAAGACAGCTTATTAAGTCTTGTGTCTCTGGCTGGAAAATGCTAATACGCAGCCCTTGACATGAGATTTTTAAAGAGAAAGATGAAATCATTTTTGGAATGTGTATTATTTCAGGTTCCTCAATTAAACCTGTTGGAAGGGGTGGACTGGTTTAGAATGTACCTGGGAGGAAGGAAGATAGAGGGTGTCCCCTTACCTCAGTTCAGAACAGTTTGTTTTTGAGTGAACAGCCAGTAAGTGTTAGGGAGGGTTAGAGACTTGGGAGTGTTAAGGGCAAGGAAGGCCCCTGAGAAGATGCTGGTCTGACCCTCACTTAACAGGTGAGGTGACAGGAAATGAGGTGGCTGGGGGCACACAGTTGCAGAGAGGTGACTGGGGAAGCCACACCATTTTTAGGGTGCCAGACCAATGTATCAAGCTGCTGTGAAGAGGGTGGAAGGGCAAGTCGGAGACACTGCAGAGCTAGTCACCAAGAGCGGAGCTCATAGAAATGGGCAGATGGAGGATTTTACCAGGTTAGTTTGCCTTGTGTCCCTGCACCACTTGTTGGTGTCAGCCTGTCCCTCACATGCCTCCTTCTCTGCCAGGTCCACTGCAACAACATGTTTGCCAAAGGTGTGAAGATTTTTAAGGAGGTGCAGTGTTACTTCCGCTCAGAGGCCAACGAGTGGGAACCGAACGCTGTGTCCTTCCCCCTTGTCCTGGACGACGTCAACCCCAGTGCTCGGTTCGTCACGGTGCCCCTCCACCACCGCATGGCCAGCGCTATCAAGTGCCAATACCATTTTGCTGATACCTGGATGATGTTCAGTGAGATCACCTTCCAATCAGGTTGGGAGCTGGGGGCCTCCTGCAGAGGTGGGAGTGGGGTAGCGTGGTGAAGGAGGCAGGTGCACCCTGGAGCTGCTCAGTGGGTGGGTGTCTGAGGAAGAGGATTGCACAGTGGCTTCTCACTGGTGGATAGAGAAATCTACATGACTAGAATATTTACTGGGCTCTCACATATTATTTAAAAGGCATGTAAATTAAAGGATGAAAATATGAGAGCACAATGAGTTAAAACTGTATAAATTAAGCCAGTTAAGGGGAAGCACACACTATTAAAATATTTAAATGAAAATTTCCAAATATACACAAAAGTAGAGAACAATGAGCCTTACCAACCACTCTCAGCCTTCCAATCACTGATGCTGTGACTGTCTTTCATTATTTCTCCATTTTCACTATAGCATTTTAAGCAAATTTGAGACATTATTTGAGTTTATTACTAAAAATTTGAGAATACATCTAAGAAAATAACATCTTCTTCATAAGCATCATGCCTTGCAAGCATAAAGCAATATAAAATCTAACATTTATTAATAATTAATTCCTTAATATTATCTAACAGGCTGTCCATGTTCAAGTATCCCTGATTGTCTAATATCCAGAGAGTTGGCTTGATCAAATTCAGATCCAAATAAGGCCCTCTTGGGGGATTTCCTTTATTATATTCCTAAGTGTCTCTTTTAATATAAAATAGTCCTTTAAAAAAAGCCAATCTGTTCTGGTTTGGCTGATTGCTTTTTGTGATGTCATTTTCTAGAGCTTGTATCTTTTGTCATTCTTGTAGCTGGGAAGTTATATCTACATGCTAACTTGATTCAAGTTCAATACTTATTTTTGTAAAGAATTTTCATAGATAATGCTGTGTCCTTTTAAAAAAATTTTTTTAACATATTTAATTTAGCTGTGTCCTTTGAACATCATCATAGATAATGCTATTGAACCTCATCGTGGGGGTGTAGTGTTATATCCTCTCACCTTTTGTGATGCTAAGATTGATTTCTGGGCTCAGGTTATCACCACAAACAGGTGACAACTGCTTGAGTTATTTATTTTATTAGGGCTTGCTAAATAGTGGTTTTCTAGTTCTTGCATTCCTTCTGCATTTATCGGCTGAATTTCTTCTGACTAGTAGAACTGTTCCTCATGCACTTGCTTACTCTGAGATACAGTTCACATTGGAAGGGCAGGATACATGATTAAATTTTTTCTCTTCATCAATTTTCAGAGTTGATGCCCTAGCAACCTTCAGTAATGTCTAGTGAGGTTTTTGGTGTGTTTGTTTTTCATACTTGTTTTGCTTTTTAGTATCATTATGGACTCGTTGCTTTTTTTAAAAAATAAATTCCGTATGTTTAATCAGTTGCAATTATTAATTCTTTCTGGTGTTCACACTGTCTTACATTTGATCAGAACACACACCTTTAAGCTGGCTCTGTGTTCTTTGGATCTGATCCTATAAGCCTTTGATGAATATTTTATTTTCTGGAAGAACAAAATTACCCAAGTTCTTTTTGAACGTTTGTGTTCCAGATATGAAGCCAACCATTTCCTTAAGAAGTCGCGGTTCCTTTTAGTGGAGAATGGTGCTTAGAGACCACAAATTGGGCAGTAAGGATTATACTGAGTGCTGAAAAGTTAAAAAGCATTTAGGGCATTGTCTATACCACTGCAGTATAGATGGGGTGCAAAACCCACACAATGATTTTTAGAAAGATGCTCAAAGTGATACCAATAATAAGTGATCAAGAAAGAGGTCAGTAGAGAGTGGTTTTTTAACAATCAAAAGAGTGAGCCTTGCACTGGACCTGGGCAAAAGTATAGGTGGAAAAAAAAGGCAAAAGAGACTAGTATAAAGATAAAGCAGAAGACCTCATGTTTCCGATTTAACTTTTATTTTTTAAATTTTTATTTATGTATTTGTTTGTTTATTTATGAGAGAGAGAGGAAGATGAGCAGAGGGTAGGGAACAAGCAGACTCCATGCTCAGTGTGGAGCCCAACATGGGGCTCGATCCCGACCCTGAGGTTATGACCTGAGCTGAAACCAAGAGTCATATGCTTAACTGACTGAGCCACCCAGGCGCCCCTGATTTAATTTCTAAAAGAAGAAAATTTCAATATGGCTTGTTCATAAGATGTCCTGACAAGGAAATAGAACATCTGTTTAGAAAAACATGTTTGGTGCCTCAGTATCTTCTGTTATAAAGATTTAATTTAAGAATAAATGGATTGATTATTTTATATGGAGTATTTATTAAGATCAGAGATTTAGATGCTCAAAATCAGTGTCATTACATTGTCTTAACTAGAAGGCCACAGATTCTCATCCAGCCTCAGGGATCCTATTCCCTTGGCAGAGTAATTAGTATACTTACCTCGTTATATCCAATTGCCACTATGGACTACAGTTTTTGACTCCTTGGATCTCTTGAGTTTTAAATCTGATGTCATGATAATGTTCATTTCCACTGGAGCCTGAGGACCCAACACAGAAAATTACATGTAGATGTAAGCTACCTCCCAATCTGCATAATTTAGTTCTAAGAAGAAGAAAAACTAGGACTTATGGAGAACATGCCTCTTAAAGGGAAATGCATATTCTAATTCTTGACCTCCTTGGTTACACAAATCAAAGGGTAAAATGAGTTGCCAATGTCAATATAGCAAATACATTTTGGGAGGTCTAGTTTTAGAACATCACAGTAAAGGACACTCCAGTATCAATAATCTACCTATAAGGGTGAAGTCTTGGTTTATAAATTAAAGGGCTGGGTCAATGAGCATAGTGAAAACAACTTAATTTCCTTGAAGGAAAGAACCTCTTAGCACTATGTCTGTCCTATGCCTGCATACTCCTCATGTTCTTTCCATTTTACAGGTCTGACTTCCTATGTATGTTTTATGCTAATGTGTGGTCACAGCCCATTGAGCCACCATTTCTTAAACTTTCTTTCTACCATGACATCTTGTATCATTTAAGCAAACACTTTACAAAAGAAGAATTGCCCTTACTGTCTAGATGGATGGTGATTTTTTTTTGTATTTAGAATATTCTATGAGTTCATTTTTAAGAAAGGCTGATGGCAACCCACTAGATTGATTTCACAGTGTTCTGGGTCACAGTCTATGACCAGAAAAAACAATACTTAGTTGTCTTCTCCCCAGCTCTGACTCATGTTTGTTTTGTAACAGATGCTGCAATGTACAACAACTCTGGAGCCCTGCCCACCTCACCTGTGGCACCCACAACCTATGGTATGTGTGATATCTAGTTATAGAAGTTAAAGTTGAAGGGACCTTCTACAGGATGAAAAAGGGTGGGGATTTTGCAGGGGCCTGACTGTGTGGGAGGCTTTATACCAGGTGGCTTTGGATAAAGGGTAGTTCTGGAAAGGTAGGCTCCAAAGTAAACGGCCTAAACTCACTCTCCTCACTGCTGGCTCATGTGATTCTTCAGCTAAAGCAGAGTCTGGAGTTGTTCCAATTGTTTCATGGAATTTAGGTAGCTTAGAATGGAAACAAGGAAAGGGACATTTCTAGGTAAGACCCATAGTGGGGATCTCAATGAATGGATGGAAGCCCATTAAATGAAATGGTATTCTCGCTAATTGGAGATATATGCAGAAGTGTACCCTGTACTTCAGATGGTAACTGGCCATATGAGTCAGCAATCTGGGAAACACACAAGATTAAGTGTCTCCAAAGGAGACTCCTCACCTATTTTTCATGAGGTGTGATTGTGAGCCAGTAGACCTAGGCTGTGGTAATAAAGGAACAAAATTTGGGGATGAATGGAAAACCTCTCCATTATCCAGTCTGATACATGAGGAGAAGGAGGCATGTACAATAGAGGAGCAAAGTCATACAAGAGTAGCAAGACCGAAACTAAGCAGAATTATTAAGGTGGCATTTTGTGGAATTATCTTGGAAGGAAAATGTTCTACCTTTCTGTCTCTAGTCCAGTCTGTCATGCTTTCCTTGCCCCATGAGATGATGGTGTTCTCCATCTTTCTCTTCCTGGTCACAGATCCAATGCTTAAAGTCGATGACAGCAACACACGGATCCTGATTGGCTGCTTGGTGGCCATCATCTTCATCCTCCTGGCCATCATTGTCATCATCCTCTGGAGGCAGTTCTGGCAGAAAATGCTGGAGAAGGTGAGGAAGTGTAGAACAGTCATGGTATAGGAAGCTGCTCCACCCTTGCCTAAGCTACTGTTAAATAAGGAGAAAAAGGCAAATATAAGATCTTGTAAATACTTAGAGTGTTAACTGAAGCCACCAAGAAGCATGGGAGTGGTGAAGCTTGGTGCTAAAGGGAGTCAGAAAAGAATAAGCTAAGTCCATTTTCTCATGTTTAGAATGGGGATTTTGGAAGCTCCCTAGAAAACTCAGAAAACTATTCCTAATCTGTTGGATCTCAACTCAAATATCTTGCTTGAAGGTTTTGAGCACGGGTTTGGAAGGGAGTGCATGCATCTGTATTTTTTGAAAAAATTAACAGATGAACAACTCGTACATATCTGATAATGCTGTTCCTTCTCTTTTGTTACTGTTTGCGTGTGTGTGTGTGTGTGTGTGCGCGCGCACATGCACAGAAAAACATTCAACCTCATTAATATCCAAGCCAACTTTTTCATAGTCCTATTTCTACTTCTTTATGTATTTGGAGTTATGATTATGCATCTTTCTGGGCCCCTCAGATTTGCTTTGTCCAGTCTAACTTATCTGAATAATATTTACACATTTGTCTAACATTTGACAATCTGCAAGGCCTTTTTTCACATGTATTATTTTACTTGGACCTCATTGAATAATGGTGAGCTGGGCCCAGTGGTTGTATTTAATGCTTTTTCTGTTGAGAAAATGTCATTTGCGCAAGGTCATATAACTGATATCCTATTTTCTATGCTCATTCCAATTGTCAGTCTTGAAATTTATAAACTTTTTTTCCTTCCAATATATATCTATTCTACCAAAGATAGAATATGTATGACTTTTCTTGGCTTCTTAAGCTAGAAAGCAATTCTCTGGGCACTTCTGCTAAGTATCTGATGCTCTTGGTGTCTGCTGATGGTTGAGGGTTTCTAGAGTTGACCATAGAGATCTGCACTGATCAATGAGTTCAAATCGATGTGGGACTGAGAGGTTTTAGAAACTCTGAACTGTGAGGCTGTTCAAAACCTTTCTTCTAGAATGCTGGAGCACACTGGGTATCTAAATTCAGGGTGAGGGACAACGAAGAGTGCTGGTGGTAGTAGAAGCTGGTGGACTCAATGTTCATGGGATGGCTTGAAGCTGATGTGTGTCTTACTGAGTATCTTGTTATGACTCCATTTTAATTGGGAAGAGGGAATCTGTGTTATTTATTCTACGAACTATTTTTCTCTTCATTGGAGCCAGAATTTGCCATACTTCTCTGGGTCTTTCTTCAGAGTCTGATTGGAATATTTCCATGGGCTGGAAGAGGAGTGTTGGATTGGAGACCCTTCAAGTAAAAGGGAGGGCAACAATTTTGCCTTGAAATACTTAACTTTGTCCTTCAAGAAATTCTTCTACCCTGCATATCCTAGTAATAAAATTCCAGATTCTCTGGAATGGCACAAGATTTTTTCCCAGGGACAGATGTGTGTGTGTGTGTGTGTGTGTGTGTCTGTGTGTGTGTAAAACCCTTAAGCGTATGTATATATTTCAAGAAACATTACTCAAAATAGCTTTAGAGTAATCAATATTTGTAGGATCATTTTGGTAGTGTCCTTAACATTTTTCCTTTGCGAGAGTTAACCCATATTTATTGAGTACCTACAATGTGCTGGGTTCCATGCTCAGTATTGGGGGTGTTATTGCACCAAAGGACTTTTCAGTCCAGGGAACAAAGTAGATATCTAGGTCTCTCCATTGAGCATTCAAAGTGTGTTTGTTGTAGTGGGATATTTTACATGTTCAAATCCAAATAGTCAGATGTATTCAGATTCTGGCATTTTCCTTTGGAAGGAGCAGGTACGTCACATTGGATAGGATGCCAAAACAATTTGTTATTTTATTCTTTTTCTTCCTTTATTAGGTATAATTCACCTCAGTATCTCCAGGGATTTCCTTGCCCATTTTTATAGCCATTTTATTTTTGCTTAGTAAAAATGCTGGATTGAGGGCGTATTACTCTAACCTTCAGTGCTAGACTATTGATCCATCATGTAACAGTGAATTTGTTGAATGAATGAGCATTTTAATGTGTCTACACAAGATCAAACCAATTAAGGGATAAGTCTGCAAAAACCTATTATTTAATAGAACGTCAAAAACTCTGCAAGATTGAGAAGATCTTTCATTGATAACTGATAGGTTCTCATAGTGTCAGGTAAATAATGTTTATATTGCTTCGATAAAAGTTAATGAATATTGACAACACGAAAGTTAGGGGGGTCAATTTCTGCCTTGAAGCAATCAGTGAAGGATTATTCTAAGTTTCTATGACCCAGGCATTTGGGGATCCAGACTACACCCCTGTCACGATGCTTGCCAAGTTGAAGAGAAATAGAGAGGCATTCCACCCAAGTGGAAGACCTGGGTCTCAGAAGAGGAGGAAGCCCCATCCTCTTTGTGCCAATATGCCTTCCCCATCCTTCTCGTTCAGGCTTCCCGGAGGATGCTGGATGATGAAATGACAGTCAGCCTCTCCCTGCCCAGCGAGTCCAGCATGTTCAACAACAACCGCTCCTCATCGCCAAGTGAGCAGGAGTCCAATTCCACTTATGATCGCATCTTTCCCCTTCGCCCTGACTACCAGGAGCCATCGAGGTTGATACGAAAACTCCCAGAGTTTGCTCCAGGAGAGGAAGAGTCAGGTGAGGATGACACCATGGCAGAGAATGAGGGAGATGTCTTGACAGGCATTATGAAGGCGTGACACTTGACTCCTACTCAACCAAATCTGGTTTTTGTCAAGAGCAGTCCACGTTTCCCTGAGAAGTCCACACTCTCTTTCTAGATTGATCTGCCATTGCTCCTACCCCAATCTGAGTGCCTCTGAGGTGTTTAATCACATAGTTGGTGTTTAAAGGGACTCTCAGGTCAGAAGAGAAAGAAAATAAATAAAGGGTGTCACTAAAGTGTTAATGCCAGAAGAACCTAAGCAGTCCAGCTAGTCTGGTATCCTCATTGTCCATAGGAAGAAGCTGAGGAGGCCCAGATAGGCCACTCACCCAATACCAAACATCATTAGTGGTAGATTCAGGACTAGCATTTCACCTGGAGAAAATGAACCAATAAAGCTAAAGACATCCTGGAATTCCCAATTTTCTGGCCCTCAAGAGTTTATCTAATTTTTGTTTATTTCTCTTTGGTGGAAATGTATTTGACTAATACAAGATCTCTTATGACAGCAAATATTTATTGCCTTTCTTCAGGAAAAGTACTGCTTTGGGAAAACAGGGCCAACTGATTCACATCCAGTGGTTTTCTTTTTTTTTTTTTTTAATGTGCCGCAGAATGACATCAGAAGGGATTCTGGGGTCATCACTGAGGCTCACAGCAGCTTTTCCAGAAGGTCAGCAACTGAAGAGTGATGCAAGTCAGTAGAAGAACTTGTGTTCAGGGGAGAGCCAGATGGAGGAGCAGACAGGACTGACTGGGAGCACATTAGCTTTTCAAGGGGTCTTTTCAAAGGAAGTGAGGAAGCTCACATGTATTCATGGCTCAGTGGATAGCAAACACTGAAGGAGCACATTGAATTCAGGGCATTGTAGGAAGATAGCAAGATAGCAAGAATAAACTAATTTGCAACAGAGATAGCAAGAATAAACTAATTTATTTTAGGCTGGACTAAAGTAATTTACCTGTTTTCTAAAGTCTTAAAACATCTCCCCCCTCATATTTTAATTTTTTTAAGGAAGGTTGTGCTTTAAACTAGAGCATCAGAAAGTTGTCTAATCCCTAAAGTAGGTTGTTAAACCAATGATAGTGTCTTAAAGAAACATGTGATGAAGTCTTCCAACTTTAATACTCCTGCCCTTATGTAACACGAACTGTCCTCTAGTTTCACCACAATCCCCTCAAATTAGTCAAGGAGGTTGTTAATGATCACACAGTTTGAGAAGAAGAGAGAAAATGATGTTTCACATTCTGAAGGCCACAAGAAAGAGTCTCTAGGGTAACCCTTCTCTGAGTGAGAATGGCGTGGAGTAGCGTAGGCTGTCTTCGGGGCATGTCCTAGCCTTCCTCTCAGATTTTCTTCCTGGAAGTATCTCCAAAGATGCCCCTTGGAGTTGGACTCACTGCGGGTGTCTTCCCAGGCTGCAGTGGTGTTGTGAAGCCTGCCCAGCCCAGCGGGCCGGAGGGGGCGCCCCACTATGCAGAGGCTGACATCGTGAACCTGCAGGGGGTGACCGGAGGCAACACCTACTCAGTGCCTGCTGTCACCATGGACCTGCTTTCAGGGAAAGATGTGGCCGTGGAAGAGTTCCCCAGGAAACTCCTGACATTCAAGGAGAAGCTGGGAGAAGGCCAGTTCGGGGAGGTGAGTTGAATCCCCTCGTGGGGTCTCCAGTTCTTGGTATCCCAAAGATAGTAGTTGAATAAAAATGGCCAGGAGAGCAGAAAAGTACCCCTTCTAAAGTGGATTTGTACCTGAATGTCTGCTTCCCTCATCTGTCCTTGCCTTGTCCTCTAGAAGGCTGGGACTGGGTCCACCTCGCTCTTACGAAAGAACTCAGAAAGGTTCCTGGGTCTTCTGACTTCTGTATAGGAGTTTTTAAAGCCAGCAAGTCACTAGACTTCAGATATCGTGAAAAACACTCAGTATTTTCAATTTTTTTTTTTAACAATAGGTTACAGAGAGGGTGGGGACGAGTAAGATGTGATCATCTTTGATAAACTGCCCAAGAACATCCTGCTACTTGATAGCCACTTTGTTTTCCTCCTTTCTATGGGAGTTACATGTAAAGTGGTCAAAAACAACCTCGCCCCTGACTTGAGTCCCAGACTCAGCCACGAGGGGATGAATTGCCAGTTGAGATAAGGAGGAGCACTCTTCCCGGTCACCGTCCAAGCGATGCATGTCATAGTGACTTTGCACTCTTACGTCAGTCACGTGAACCTTTTGAGAATCCAAACCCATGATTTAAGTGGCAACAGGAGCCCTTCAACGGTACCATCTGAAATCCAGATGAAATAGAAGAATGTGTTCTCGGTTTTCAGTGTGGGTGGCACGCTTTGCCCTTGCATGGGTTTGGTATTGGTGGAAGGGTTCATGGCATCTTTTCGTGATGTCATTCTGTCCCCGGGGTTGAAAACACATGCTCATTATTTTGTTACTCTTATGTAGGGGTTACTTATAGTCCTAACGCCACACTAAGGGACTACCTTAGAGAAGAAATTGCCATCTGTTTCGTATGAACCAGTAACTAAACTTCCTTGAATCAAAATGGGAGCATTTATGCTGAGCAACATTTTATAGTGGACCCTACTGGAATAAAATGCTATGTTGTAGATTCGTTCACATATTTAACGTTCCAATCAATGTATATATCTTTTATAAAGTAGTAACATGTCATACTAGCTGGGTTTTACCCATGTTTGTCTCGGCTATTTGAAGGAAAGGTATGTTATACGTATCTTAACAGTCTTTGATGATTTTGCTTGAGTTGTAAGAGTTAGCTTATCTCCCAAAAATGCCCAGCGAGAGTACTGAGCCATCTTCAGGAGAAACGATGATGCTGAGACTAGATGACTTTTGTCTAGGTTCATCTCTGTGAAGTGGAGGGGATGGAAAAATTCAAAGACAAAGATTTTGCCCTAGATGTCAGTGCCAACCAGCCTGTCCTGGTGGCCGTGAAAATGCTCCGAGCAGATGCCAACAAGAATGCCAGGTCTGTGGTCTGCATTTTGAATTTTCCTTTATGTATTTCACCTTCAGGATCAGAAAGAGTCCTGGAAACTGTGAGCAACTTCTTTCTTTTGAGATGGGAAGGTCTGTGAGCTGCCTTACCTTTCACTCTTGTGCTCTCGTTTTCTGATGGGCCTGCAGTCCTCGTCTGTCTTCTCTATCTCTGGCAAATGCAGATGTCCGCTTTCCACTGAATTAGCTACATGTTGACTTCCAAATTCCCTTTGTATAGAGCTGTACTTCCCAACACACACAACAGCCCGAATATGGGCTCCTTTGACCATGATGCACAGACGTACTCCTGAATGTCATTACCGCCTCCTGGCCGACTTCCTTGTTCACACACAACTTTCTTGCTAAGTCTCCTCTGTTCTCCTTTATGTGCATCTCTATTTACTTTCTTATTCCTTTTTTTTTTCTCTTTTGCTCTTATGCTCCTTTTCTTCAATGTCCAGCAACCCCCCAAATGAGAAGCTACCTCTACTTGGCAAAGTATCCATGGACCTCAAAGCAAAAGGATCCTACAGTCCTTTAGCAGTGCCCCAAACTGGCTAATAGTCTCTTGGATCCTTTACTACATAAATTGCAGTTTCCAGCCATACTCCGTTGTCTGACAGCCTTTCCATTACAGTAATGGTGAGTTAATCCTCACCCAGAGAGGCATGCTGGTTGAAAGCTGGTTGTCTCTGTCTCAGAGAAGTTGGCACATCTGGGTAACGTATGTATTTCCCCATTTGTGTTGACTTGATTTGTCTCACTGATATTCAGAGTAAGAGAAAGCTTATTATCCCTCTTCCCCAAATTATTGGAAATTCCAAGAATGGTGATAGAGTTTCCACTGTCTTGCAGTGGACAGGATGTGGAATGAAGAAGAAAGAAAGTTGAGAGAAGAGAACTGGAATTTTAACTGTGAGAACCTCAATCTTAAAGACATTAGTATGCATGAAAAATGACATCCTCTGAGTCCTTTAGAGAGGAGGAATATTCTTAATATTAACCTTGGCACACAATTGGAGAGAGTGGCAAGAAGAAAGAACATAGGATATAACAAAGCCTTTGCCCATTGTTTTGATTGGTGAAGTTTGGTGTCCCTTCACCTATGCTTACTACAATTTAGCCATGAAGGATGACCTAGACTCTGGGCTCCCCAAACTGTGGAAATCCCTGATTTTGAGTAGAGGGGGGAATGAAAGAGGGGGAATGTCACATCAGGAATGCATTGATTTCAAGGTTTTTATATTGATACAGTATGACTCCCAGTTCAGGGTTGCTAGAAAACTCACAGGAGATTACTAACTGATCTGCTCTGATAGTTTTAAGAATGTGGGCTAGTGGTCTTACTTACAAATATTGTTCCTGGGAAGGGGAGAGCCCATTTTTTTCGACTCAAGGGAGGAGTGGTCACTAGGTACTCAAATGGCTCCAGTCTTGGCCAAGTGAGTACTGTTTTTGAAATGACTCCACATCGCCACCGTGAGCTTTGAAAAGCTCAGCTTTGACCAGACTGCTCAGAGTGTGTTGTGATGGACTGCTGGTATGTCCTGTACTATGAACAGTCAGTATGAGAAAAATAAAGATGCACCAGATAAGGGGCCCCTGGGTGGCTCAGTGGACTAAAGCCTCTGCCTTTGGCTCAGGTCCTGATCCCAGGCTGCTGGGATCGAGCCCCGCATCAGGCTCTCTGCTCAGCAGGGAGCCTGCTTCCTATCTTCTCTCTGCCTGCCTCTGCCTACTTGTGATCTCTGTCTGTCAAATAAATAAATAAACAATCTTAAAAAAAAAAAAGATGCACCAGATAAACTAGAAGATGATTATTCACTTTATAAAAGATTTCTTTGCTCTATTAGTAGAGAAAGTCCATGGCTTTTAAAAAGATAAATACCCCAGTGCACTTAAGATAGGATATCCAGGGAAAGGTTTCATTTTGCAGACTTGTTTTTAGCAGCATATATTTGATTCAGCAAATGGTAATCACTTTCTATATGGTGGGCCTTTTGTTGGATTCTAGGGATGCATATGTGAGCAGATCATGGTTCATGTTCTCAAAAAGATTGCAGTTGAATAAGGGTGCATCCTATTCCGGGGTATGTAGAATGAGATAGTTTCTAGGTACCAATCTCTGTCCTTTCAAAGGTTATCCAAAGGGAAACAAGCCTCGGGATAATGGGTAGGACTAGGCTTTGCTGTGTCTTCTTCCCCCTCTTTTCTCTAACCCTGGGAACCTCTGGGTTTACCTATGTCTGTGTCCTCCAAAGGAATGATTTTCTTAAGGAGATAAAGATCATGTCCCGGCTCAAGGACCCAAACATTATCCGCCTCTTAGCCGTCTGCATCACCGACGACCCTCTGTGCATGATCACTGAGTACATGGAGAATGGAGATCTCAATCAGTTTCTTTCCCGTCACGAGCCCCCCAGTTCTGCCTCCAGCAACGCACCCACTGTCAGGTAAATATGTCAAGTCTCTTAGCTCTACCCTGTGTTTGTGGCACTAAACTGGGCTTTGAAGACAGGGAGCATCAAAAGTTCAAGTTTGTCAGTATTCTGGCCTGGTGGGGAATAATGGCACCACTGCCCTCTGGGGGAAAGCACAAAGATGCACTGAGAACAGAAAAGGGATGTTGAGGTCAAAACTCCAGTTCATTGGTACCAGCTGTAGAACGTATGCCTCTCATGGCTTTCTCTTCCCATAGGCCACTTTCCTCTTTTTTATTCCCCAGTTATGCCAACCTAAAGTTTATGGCTACACAGATTGCCTCCGGCATGAAGTACCTTTCTTCCCTTAATTTTGTCCATCGAGATCTGGCCACACGAAACTGCTTAGTGGGTAAGAACTATACCATCAAGATAGCTGACTTTGGAATGAGCAGAAACCTGTACAGCGGTGATTACTACCGAATCCAGGGCCGGGCAGTGCTCCCCATCCGCTGGATGTCTTGGGAGAGTATCTTGCTGGTGAGTTTGTCACTTTTTTTTTTTAAGATATTATTAATTCATTTAAGAGAGAGAGAGCAGAACTAGAGAGAGGAAGCATGAGTGGGGGGGAGGGGAAGAAGGAGAGGGAGATGCAGACTCCCTGCTGAGCAGGGAGCCCGACACGGAGCTTGATCGCAGGACCCTGAGATCATGACCTCAGCTGAAGGCAGACGCCTAACTGACTGAGCCACCCAGGTGTCTTAGAGTTCCTCACGTTTTTAAGCACTACCTCAGCAACTGACATGTAGGCAGGTGCACTTGGCACATAGAGACAAATGTGAGACAGTAGGAAGCAAACAATAGACGTTGATATTTTCTGACTTGAGATGATTTACCTTGGGTGAATTAATTACTATTTTGTTTTTTAATTACTATTTCTTAACACTTGACTATTTCTGCTGATAAAATGTAACATGCTTACTATAGAAAATTTGGGGAAAAGATTAAAAATGTACCTATCATCATAAGGGATTTAGTATCATTTTTTTCTCTCTCTACCTTTTTGACATAACGATTGGTCTTCATTAATTTATTAAAAATCTTATCACTTAAAGAAATATTATCCACAAAAAATATTTTTCTTCTGTATTAACTTCAAACTATATTTCTAATGAATTATTTAGACTGATGTCTATGTATTTATTTTAATGAGTATTACTATTTATTTTTTATTTTAAGTTCATCATTCTTTCCTTTATAATTATTATTCAACTCTTGGTATTCTGGACCAAGAGTGAATGATTTTTTTCCAGATGTCTTTCTTGGAGGTATTTTTTTCTGACCTTGCATATTTGAGACATTTTATTATTGATTTTATACCACTTAGCTGATTTGTGGAATTATTAGACTTTAAACATTTACTTCCTACAATGGTGTGTACCTGTAATTTTGTCATTTGTCGTTTAACATGGCAGAGAAAAGCCCAAGAGCAATCTAGCTTTGTTCATTTATAGTTAATCTGTGTATTTCTTGTTCATATTCTTAAGGGATTCATTAATTAAATTCAAAGTGAAAAAATATATATAGTTATTCCCTTTCTCTCACTAAGATAACCATTATTAATATTTTGGCATATTTCCTTTGTGGGTTGTTTTCTATACATACATTTCTGTGTGTTTATATATATGTCTATGTATGTGTACATATGTACATACATGTATGTGTGTATATGTGTGTGTTTACATGTGTATATACAGTAGTCTCCCCCTTATTTGTGGGGATATGTTCCAGGACCTCCAGTGGACACCTGAAACTGAAGATTTTTTTCCCATATATACATATCTATGATAAAGGTGTAATTGTATATTTTAATGTTTTAATATAGAAATCAGGCACAGCAAGGGATTAAAAACAGTAGCTAGTAATAAAATAGAACAATTATAACAATATAATGTCAAAAGTTACATAAATATGGTTTCTCTCTCCACAATATTGTCGTGTACTCACCCTTCCTCGTGACACTGTAAGATGACACAATGCCCACGTGACGAGATGAAGTGGGTGCATTGTGCAAATGTTGTGATGGGGGGTGAGGCTATTGCTGACCTTCTGATGGTACATCAGAAGGACGCTGCTCTGCTTCTGGGTCGCTGTTGAATGTGGGTCACCGAAATCATGGAAAGAGGAACTGCAGATAACGGGGACTGGTGGGTACCAACAATTACATTACAGAATCAGGACAGCACTGTGCACATATAATTCTATATCGTTAGCATTTCCTATGTCATTAGATTTCTTCAAAAACACAATTTTAATGGCCGCATCATATCCCATTGGGTAGCTCTGTCCAGTAATTTAATAACGTCTCTGTAATTTGATACGTAAACGCTTTCCAGTTTCCCACTATTACGCCTGATGCTGTGATATATCCCAGTTTACATGAGTTCTCACAAGGATCTTTATCATCTGTATATGTGAATCAGTACTTCACCCATCTGGCATTGCTCCCTTTAGAGGTATTCTATAGTGTTGGAAAAGCAGATCAACGTGAGAGACACAGAATCCTGTTCCAAATCTTAGTTTTTCCATTACTCATGGCCTTACTCTCGAGATTTTAGTAAACCTCCTTTGTCTCACTTTCCTGATCTGAAAAACTAAGGATAAGTAACATCATGGACTTGAGCATTGTATTTATGGAATAGGAAACATGCACGATTTTACACGTGCTGATAGCACCTGACTCCCATTGCTGTCACGTGTGGGTCTCCCCTTCAAGAGGTGACTTTTACTGATCTGGGGAGCCAGAGCCCTGGATTCTTCAAGAGACCTCTCCCAGCCCTTAAACTAGGTTCCTCTGTCTATAACATAAATATGATCGATTTCCCATTCATCTATTGCCATTCCCAAGGGCATTTTCCCATGGTCATTTTCCCATGAGCATTGAAGTTTGAGCTTCTGACACTCAGTGGGAGAGTCAGATAGCTTACGGCTGTACCTCGAGGGTCTCATCTGCAGGAGAAGTAGACCTAAGAGACCAGGAGGGCAAGAGAGCGGCCTCCGTAGCTTGATGTCAAAACAACTTGACTTTGTCGTTTTAGATTCTCCATATACATCATGGCAGTTTCAGTGTTCTGTGCCCTGGCTAGTGGACGGGGTACCCAGGTCCTACGGATCTTACCTGCTTTTGTTACGTACAGACCACTCCTGTGCCCTCTTCTTTTCCTTGCGTAAACAGGGCAAATTCACGACAGCGAGCGACGTGTGGGCCTTTGGGGTGACTCTGTGGGAGACGTTCACCTTTTGCCAGGAGCAGCCCTATTCCCAGCTGTCAGATGAGCAGGTCATCGAGAATACTGGAGAGTTCTTCCGGGACCAAGGGAGGCAGGTGAGAACAGCTGGGGTCGGCCAGGTGTGGGTTCAGGTGCTCCGGAAGGTGAGAAGAAGAAAGCCCTGACTTAGCAGGTTAGCCTAAGCTGGAAGGTAAGTCATCTGGGTGGCAGCCTTTGGTCACTAATTATCCAGATGATGCGAAAGACTGAGAGTTACCCCTGCCCCTGCCCTATCAGCCATACCCTCTGCCTTATCCACACGGCAACCCATGATCATTGGACAACACAAGGGGTTAGTTACGCCAGGTTCTTTCCCAGCCCCAAGATAGCAGGAAATAAGATTCTCTTTCTCATGTTTGCTCTGTTTCTTGATCTGGACTGTGTGGTTTGCCCTCCTGGTTAAAATATATAAGGACAAAAATATAAGTTTAAAAGTGAATAAGGGATTTACTGGCAGGGGTTAACAATTTGGTTTGGACTAAATATTTAGCCATGTTTCTAGATGTATATGCCCAGAGACCATCAGGTGCCTGGACCGTGGCTTTTCAGAACTTGGGAAAAGCTAGATTCCCACGCTGACAAGGATCCCATTTCCCGGTCAGGATACTCTAAGATTTCTTTGGCTGGCTCAGTTTGTAAGATCCCTGTGAGATGCAGGACGTAAGGCTAGCTGATGCAGTTGGAGCACTGAATCTCCCCAGAGTGGCCTGGCCACAGCACCCTCGAGCATGGCAGCTCAATCCAACAGCCAGGGATGGAAGGAAGGCTCTTGTGCAAAATAAAATTTTGATTCTCTGAAGGCTTAAATACATCGAAGCAAGCAACAGATAAGGGAATGACAAGCGGTAAGACAATATGCAGGTTGAAAATAAGAGCGAGAGGTCCTGGAATTTCATTTTATCTTGACACTCTAGAGATTTTGGGAAGAGGGGATCCAAATTATCCTTGTTAGTTATAAAAATAATTGCTTTCTTACCATGACAAAGGGCAAATTTACTCCTGTGTGCAGAGATAAGTGAGTGGACTGAGGGATAAGATGTTTTTTATCCTGGACAAATCTGTCATGACCCCAGGTTGACCTAGTTTTGTTTTAATTTCTAACATCTCCAGTATTTTATGTTTCTTATTTAGTTTTGAATACTCAGCTTAAAAGGGCCCACCGTTTTATCTTCACTAAATACTAGTAGTGAACCAAATGTATTTTCACCAACCACCAAATTGTCGAATAGCAAAGTTAAGTATTTGATTGAAGCCTCGGTCAAAATCAAGTATTACCATTATATGCTGAGTAAACTTCTCACCTATAGGTGTAAGTTTAAATTGTCAATAAAATTTTATTAAACTGAATACATTAATTACTAAACATGATTTATCAAATTTATACTCGATTACCTTTTACAAAATTTAATTACTTTAAGTTTTATTACTAACATTTCAGGATTCACATTTTGAACATTTGACATTTTGAACGTTTGACAGGGGCAGTCATTTCTCAACCCTATCAGCTGCGAGGCAGGCTCTGTGGTCAGCAGACTCCTCTCCACGGTCCAGTCTGGGGTAGGGGGTCACAGAGAACATGACAGTAGGAGCGACACAGGTACATCCCAGGACCTGGATACACTGCAGTGTCTGTGTCTGGCCAGGGTCCTATTCCAGGGGAGGAGCTGAGACAACCAACACACTTGCCATCCCCGCCCCACCATGACTGGCTCGGCCAAGATCAACCTCAACATGCATGGGTCATAAGCAGAGGGTTTCGTGGTCTAACCACATGCTTTCCAGCCTGAGTCCTCATTTTGCTTCAGGTTCATCTTTTGCGTGATGGTTGGGACCTCAGAGTGGTCCATCAGGAGATCCTGGTCCAGACAACGAGGCACAAGGGAAGGGGACAGGGACCCAGCTGGGAGTGGGAAAGACAGACACCACACACGTTTCAGTTATCAAGCTCAAGCATCGGGGGAGGCAGATAAAACCACAATGCAGCTACACTTCCTTTTTGCCCTTCTTAACACTCTGGATTTTTGTGGACTTTTGTTTTCCAAGACGTACCTCCCGCAGCCTGCCATGTGCCCGGACTCTGTGTACAAGCTGATGCTCAGCTGCTGGAGGAGAGACACCAAGCACCGTCCATCGTTCCAGGAAATCCACCTTCTGCTCCTTCAGCAAGGGGACGAATGACGCTGTCACTGCCTGGCCCCATTCCGATGGCCCAGGTCCTTCTTGCGAGACCTACCACTCACTCACCCACGCCTAAGCCACTCCATCTGGACATTGAATGGGCTCAGGAGATGGAGGCTTGTTGGCTTCTCTCTCTCTGTCCCTGGGCTCCCTTCACTCCACTCCCTCACTCTCTACCCCTGACCTATATTTACTCTTTTTTTTTTTACATTAAAAAACTAAAAAAAGAAAAAAAAGCCTAGGACAGATAAAATCTAGTAAAGAAATCTTACTTAATATACCGAAGTGTTGGATAACAGGCTAGACAATTTAGATAATTTATAAAGGTTAAATATGCTATGTTTATAAATGTGCAGATGCTACAATGTTTTTCCCATGTCACCTTTTAAAAACGTATTTTCAGAATGAAAAACTTGAAGAATACTAATGTCTTAGGAAACATGATGAGGCTTAGGGAAAACACTCGGTAAGTGTGGAGAATCGGATGGAATGGTTGGTATTCAGCAACTGGTCATGGATTTCTTGGTTTCCTAATTTGGCCCTCTGGACGTGTCCTACCCTCTGTGTTTCCCTCTCCTGTCATAGCAGATGATACGTGCTTGAAAAACCCCTGCTTCTTGGAGTGGGTGTTTTGTTCACTCGTGGGCAGGGGTCAGGGGTAATGTCTCTGTGGTCTATTTGCGTAGACAATACAGAGGATGTGCATAAGAGAGAATGTCTGTCACAAGGCTGTGTGAAGGGGGATTGTCACTTGCCAAAAAAGTACCTCGTGCACGGAAGGATTCTTGAACAGAGAATGGACATGGGAAAAGAGGTCTGTGGGGGACAGGCAATAGGTGTGCTATTCACCTGTGATTTCTGCAGAAGGTCCTCTTCTCGTTCAGATGTTTCCAGGTGTGTGTTTTGCTGAGACCCTGGTTTTGAATCCATAAAGCTTGGTGTTTTGATGTCTGGATCACGGGCCCTTAGGTTCATCTTCTGTAAATATTCCAGCTCTTTTGGCAGATGTATCCCCTAGAGGACCCCTCTCTGAAGGCCATGTATTGTAGGGAGTAGATCTGCGTGTTTGCGGAATGTTAACCAAGGAGGGCTGAGGAGGGAAAGTTACAAGCAGATGGATTTCCACTCCTTATTCAAGAAAGCCTAGTCCACAGAACACACAGGGCTCTGGGGCCACCTCCAGAGGGCGGGGAACGGGGAGGGGAGAGTCCTTTGTCCCTGAAGAGCTTCAGATGTAGGCTTTCAAACACAAGGTCATATGAGATGGTATTTAATGTCTTTTTCTCCCTAAGAGTCCTTGATTTCAGAGAGACACGGGGTGAGCACAATAGAGAAGTCATTCCCTGTTCCTGCTTCGTACACACTCGGGGATGTCGTGGGCAGCAGAAGAGAAATCGGGAAGGTCTGGGTTCAGAACTCATGGAGACTGATACATTGTCGAATGAGTCCCCTCAGAACAGACTGGGAGCTCTGTGCTCCACAACAGCTCAGATTTAATGGGAAGCAAGAAAGGAGGCCTCTCCGCTCCTGCTGAGAGAAATCAGAAAAACTTACAGAATAAACTTCCCCACCTCAGAAAAAATAGTCTTGAGTCGTCCTTCCTTGGGTTTGCTGCTGGAGCCCTCACCTGGTCCCCCTTGTGCACAGTCGCTCAGGGACTTGACTGTTCTCCCTTGGTCAGCCTTCAGCAGCGCTCCAGGCTACTGCAGAAGTGAACTTCCCAAATCCCCAGATGTGACCCTGGAATATACTTGCCCCCATCACTGTCCTTTGATTCTGGGCTCCAGCCTCTCCCAGGACTAATTCTGTGGAGATTGTAGGTTTGGGAGTCAGGAGAGCGTTAGTTTGGAAATTGGTCCTACTCTGCCCCAGGCCAAGTGTGTCACCTTGGACAAGTCACTTCACCTTTCTGGACGCCCATTTCCCTCTCTGTAAAATGAGGACATCAGATTAGAGGGTCTTAAAGCCTCTCCCATCTTGAAATGTGCAGGGGTGGCTGGATAACTGGATGGACAGTTGATACAGATTCCCTTATGTGGTCCTCTCCTGCTCTGAAAATCGTGGTCAGCAGAAGGAGTCATGCAGGGAACTTACTATAACAGTAACGGTCATGGCTGCCACCGGTACAGTGCTCTGAAGTGTCACCAGGTGTTTCCACAGACCCAATCTCAGTTCATATGTGCGGGGCCAGACATGTCCTTATCCCCTATGTTCTGCCCTCAGGACCAGGACAACTTCATGTATTAGAGAGCTCTCTAGAGAAACAGAACCAATAGGATATCTATACCTAGATGTATAGAATTTATTATAAGGGACTGGCCCACATGGTTATGGGGCTTCAGGGTCTCACCATCTGCCTCCTGCAAGCTGGAGACCGGGGAAACGTTTTGAGAAACAGAGGGCAGGAGATGTTCTAGCTCAGCGGTCAGGCAGAGAGCATGAGTTCCCCCTTCCTCCATCTTTTTTCATCTATTTCCCTCTGCTCTCAGAGGATTTGATGAGCCCCCCCAACACACACACACACACACACACACACACGCGCGCGCAAGCGCGCACGCACACGCGCACGCGCGGGAGAGGGCAATGTGTTTCACTCAATGCACCCATTCAAATGCTAACATCATCTGGGAACACCCTCACAGACCCATCCAGAAGTAGTGTTTCATCCGGGCACCCCCTGCCCCTGTCCCAGAGACACATAACCTTAATCACCTCACTGCAGTAGAATCAAAGGGCCTTGAAATCAGGACTGGCAGCCTATTGTCCATCCTGCTTCTGGGAGAGCTCCATGCACACGGTGCCCACGATGTCTTGTGTGGCAAGAGAAGACAACATCATTTCCCCATCTTTGCCTCATCTCTCCACTTCTTTCTTTTTCCCTTTCTGCCTCAACTCACTGCATTCCATCATCCCATAAAAAAAAAAAAATCGTATTGAAAATCAACTTAGTGTGTCTGGATTTTCCTGGCCTTGAGTCACAGAATGATCTGTTTCAAGTGGCTGGCAAGCAAGCATTGTCCCATACAGTGACCCTCTCCTGGGAGGAAGACGCACATTTTCCGGCTTTGAGCCTCCTCTGTCATAGACACAGGTCTAGCGTCTAGCCTGGTCAGACCCGCACAGCCTCGCTGCACAGACCCAAGAGACCCAACAGAGGACACAGTGAAGGATTAGTACATTGAATTTAGAAGTAGCTCCAACCTCAACGAGAAGATGTAGCTGGGAAGTTTTAGAAAGGGACACAGGAAAAGGGACAGCCAACCACGGGGCCCTGCTAGTGTGTAGTGAGTTGTCCTCTTCATGACACATGTGAAATAGTTTATGTCCAGATTGTGTTTGTGGAATGGCGGATTTAAATTTATACTTTTGCGGTAAATGGGCTGACCACTAGGTCCACATCTTGATGTGCCGTCTGGACACAGATGTGATTAGGCGAGATCTGGAGCGGGAAGGGGCACTGGGTAGAGAATGTGGTTTTCGTGCTCTGGAAAGGTCACTTGCAAGTGCAAGAGACAGTGTAACAATGAGCATTGTACGGAAGTGGAGTCAAAAATGAAGCAGTGAAAGTGCATGTGGCTGAGTGAGGGAGGCGGGTGGGGGGGACCAGAGAGGAGGCAACACAAAAAGAGGTAAGGGAGGGTACAGGACACAGGGCCGGGCAGGGCAGGGCAGGGAGGAAGGAACAGGTGGCACAAGTGGGAGTCTGTGCTGAAGCAGGAGAGCGCATCTCTGAAGAGAGGTCCGAGGGAGGGCAGAAAAGCAAGTGTCTTGAAGATAAAGGATAACTACAATAGAGAAAGGAATTCTGGATGATAGAGATTATGCAAGTATTTATTAAGAAATGAAAAGGCAGGTGCCGCGTATGAAAAGGAAGAGAGCTTTTCAGAGTCTTCAGGAAGGGCAAGTCCTAACAAAAACACGTAAGCAACCATCAGGGAAGGGTCTTCTTGGTTCTGAGGGGCCCCCAGGCTGAAGTTAGGCAAGACTAAGTCTTGTTTGATATCTGTGCAAAGAGGTATGTGCCACGTTGGAACCATGTGTTTTTCTAGTCCCATCCAGACTTCCCACAAGAAAGCCATGATGTGGGGCTAAGCCATGTGTTTTGAGTAATGGGGAACAGAAGAAGGGGTGTGTCTGCAAGAGGGAGAGAGGAAGATGTTCCAAGGAAATATTCTAAAACACAACAGCATCTGTTTTGCCCAAAACTGAAAAAAAAATGAAGAAACTTAAAGTTAGGGCTTAGATTACTCCAACATACGGCTATTAATCTTTGATCCGAGCTTGAATTTATATACCTGCCATCTTGTTCTCTTCAGTAAGACCTCTGACTTCTGGCAGAGCATATGGTAGGTCTCTAAATATTTCTGGAAGTTGCAGATCCTGATCTATGCTGGGAAATCCTTCTGAATTGAAATTTAGCATTTTTATAGAAACAGATGAATGTCTTTTCCACGTGGTAAATGTCTTGGAATGCTGAATCAAGATGGAAAGAGACCAGAATGGTTAACAGTGATTAGATTGCTGGCATTTTGAGTTCTCTGGCACAATTAGCTGTATTGCTTGGTGGCAGACAAGCGGTGGGTAATTATTTACTTGCCATATCTTCTTTTTTTAATTTGTTATTTTTAAATACTTTTAAGACTCACAAGAAGCTGGGAAAATAGAATAGTTTTACCCTAACACCAGACTTTCCCCATTGATAACATCTTCCATAACCATTGTCTATTTTCAAACCCAGAAGGTTCACATTTGTAATAGTATTAACTAGACTACAGACCTTATGCAGATTTCACTGTTTTTTTTTTTTTTAAACATGTATTTATTTAGTTTCTGGACACTTCATCCTTTTCTGATTTGTAACCTGGCTTTGCTTGGATGCAGCAGGAAGAATATTATCTGGGTACGATTCTACAAAATTCTAAAGAGAATATAACAAATTAATCTGTTCCTTTATCAACGAGCAATATCCTGCCTAGACTGCTTCCACATTTTCTGACTAGTTTGGCTATTTAGCATCTGGAACAATCCAGGAACAACTTAGAAGGATTTGGAAACACAGGGGCAGTGAGATCTGCATGGATCTTGCTGACAAGAGAATCAGGCATGGGGCATTCTGGATGGTTCCTGCGGTTCCTATAAGTGAGTAGGGTTTGCAATGGTGTCAGGCAGAGGACTTAGGGTTAAAACCAGTATTTTGGTCAAGAGCTGGGTGGCACTTAGTTAATGGCATCAGGACCGGCTTGTGGAAGGAATAGAGTACAATGGCATAGAGTCCTTTAGTGTGTGATGAAACACAAAGGTCAGAATGGTAGAGACATTTCATTTGCCTGAATATCAGTTCTTAAGTGGAACAACAGCTATATTGGACCAAATTAAATGTAAGCACAGAAATAACCTGAGGGTAGGGACTTGAAACAGCTGTGAGTTTTGTGATGGTATCTTTCACCTGCTGTATTTGTGGGTCACGGGACGGTTACTGGGTTCACACTGCTTTCCGCATGTCCTGTCAAGTTCCAAGCACGTAGTGAGCACTCAACAGATATTCACCGAGTGTTGTTTTTGGAATGAATAAAAGAAACTGAAACTTGTCACCCAGCATAACTGGGATGAATTTAGGGAGAACTGCTTTGCTATAATGCAGAGAGTTTATTTTCCAATGAAGAAAGAGAGAAAAGTGCCCAGGCTCGTACCTGGTGTAGTACATTCTCCATTCGTGTATTTTCTGAGGATGAAACAGATCTATGGAGATCTATATCATTCTTTGGAGTAGTTAGACAGCAGCAAGGCAGTTAGCTCAAGGCACCCCGTCAACAGCAGGGAGGGACTCTGGCCCCAAACGCAGCCCATTTTGAAACAAGCTTTCTGGTTTCTCCAGCAGACACCTGTCAAGAACCCCTAAAGGGGAAGGATCAGAGTCCCAAGCTAGCCTGTCTAACCCACATTCCCAAAAGCATATGAGGGAAGAATTTGCAAAGAGACTCAAGGGAAAGCACAATGCGATGAGGCAATCACCTGTTTTCTTGAAAAGAGGCTTAGAAATGGTTGGAATTGGGTAGGATTCCTGCAAACACACCCAAGAGTTTGTAACCCAGCCTATTCACTTTATGTCCTTTACTACTCATGATATCCTGTTCTTCTACCCTGTTGTCTGCTATCTTTTTCTGAGGACTGAGTTTCTGAACCAGCATGGCTCACTCTTCCTGTGAGGAAGGAATCTCTGGGCCTTGTTTTGTAGGCTTTGGAGGAAAATGTGTCTTATCAAGGGGTAGAGCAAACCGATTGATCTCTGCTTGAAACTATCATAGTCATCCCAAAATAGAATACGTAAAAGTTCTCTGTATTAGAAAAAGAAACAAGATACCCATTGTATATTTTCTTTTCTTTATTTATTCTCTGTAAGTCTGTCAGATGATAAATTGTAAATAACAATGATTAAAGAAATATGCTACTGATGGATCCTTCTTTCTGTGTCAACAGCACCAGTTCTGGGCTTGGTTATCTTACAGTCTTTCTGGACACCTGATGGGGCCCCGGGATGGAGCCAGAGAAGTGTGCGGTGTGCGTGGTGGGCATGCCTATTTGTAGGGGGATATCCGACAGAGGGTTACATACACAGGCCTCTCGCATATTGCTTGACTGTCTATTGGAGGAAAAGCATCTTGGTCTCTGGCACATCCAAACATACTAGAGATTGGGATTCTGGGTTGTCACATTAGTTCTGGAGAAGCCAGTCCAGAATTAATTGCAGATGCTTTATTGTTGTTGCTACGAAGTGGTCTTGTTTGACACATAGAAATCTCTTCTAAATCCACATGTCATCTGGCTCAAGACCACACAAGCATACAAAAAGCAACAAGAACTCTGAACAGCCAGAATACAGACTTGGTCTTCGTAAAAGAAATTCAGATGAACCACCCTCTTCCCCAAAGAAAAAAACGTGTTTCTTACTTGGTCTCTGAAGAATATATTTATACTTTTATTTTTCTGAATGATTATATATTTTTTCAGCAACGGCTAAGGTAGATAAGAGAATGGATACAAATTCTCAGAAAATACTCAGAGGGCAAAAATAATTCACGAAGGCACACTCTGACCGTCAGAGTGTTTGGTCTGATGCCGGGGCTAACGGCCAGGGATTCAAGTATCTGTGCGATGGGAGTGGGGTTGGAGGCAAAGGAGAAAAAAGTAAACAGGAACAGCAGAGATACTCAGAGATACACCTGTATTGTCAACACTGTTGTCAAGCTTTAAAGAAAGTTATGCGTGATATGTATTCGTACACCATATGGCATCTATAGGCTATGCATTTATCTGAGCATGTAATTTGTTACTGATTTATTGCCACTTAGAATTTTATGTTCATTTTGTATTTGAAAAAGAAGTATACACACTTACCTTCTGGTCCTTGAGAGGCACCCAGTAACTCCTTATGTATAAGCGACACATATATCTCTTCCTATCGAGTGAAATGAGTAAAATCCCTCTCTCAGAGTAGGTTTGGGCCAGGCTGAAGGACTAGTGATTTGAAGAGGAGACGGATGAAAGACACCCATGAGAAGAGCTACGTGGCCCCTTGGCAGCTGTTCTTTTGCCCCTGTTTTTAAACCAGAGACAAGTCCATTCTGGAGAGGTTTCTAAAGACCCTGAATAGGGAGAGCTCTGTCCCAGGTGTTAAAGGTACCTTTGCTCATCTCTGTCTACCTAAGGACTGTGTCAGGCACCAGCAAAGGAACCAGAGATGGGTTTCTGCATTTAGAGTAGAGGCAAACTTACTTTATAAGGTAATAAATAGTCAAAGGTAGGAGTGCTCCATTTACGATTCTGTTCAAGGGGCCAAAGCTTACCGGGGATAAATGGATTGTTGCATACTAGGTTCTTCTGGTTTCCAGGAAAACAGCCCATGAACGGTATAAACTCAAGATGACTAGTTTGATTCGATGAAAGCCATACTTACTCACCTATCACTGAACTATATATTATAACCATTACTGAGGTGTCCTACATCTGATTAGATATTTTTAAAATATAAAATTTAATGCCAACTGTTTCAATCGATCTCTGTTCTCCTGGTCTCTCTGGAACCTCTAGTGGTTCACCCATCCTGGGAAGGTTACAGAAACTTGAAAGGTCCAACCTGAATAGAAAGAGGGAAGCAAAGAGCAAGGCTTCTTAACTTGGACTGGATGGATATCACACTAGTAGGAGATGGCAGCTCTGGTCATCCTGTCTTCACTTAACTCACAGTGGGTCCCATACTGGCTGGCATCGCCAAATTGTGGGGAAGCTGAATCCCCAGAGCCTGGGCCCTCCCCCTTCTCTGTAGGAATGAGTTTTTCATAGGACAACCCCACAACTCTTATTCCTTCTACCTGCCACTTCTGAGCCCTAGGACACCTTAAAAGGAAACTTTGGGTCTAAACTGTAAAGATTGGGGTTAATTTTATTCTAGGACTCCCAGAAAATATTGCTAAAATGTGGTCTTTTTAGAATATTTGAAAATGGCAGAAGGGTAGGTGCTGAGTTCCACCCAGATAACAACAAAGATGTTTGAATGATTTAGGAATCTAATATTCAAATAATTGGATTTATTTTTTGGATATAATTTTATTGGTATAAGAAAGTATTACTAAACGAGTTGATATTGTTCCTGGACAGAGAACCAGTTCTGAACTCAGGTTCGGCTGCTTGCCCCTGGAAATCAACACTCGAGAGACAAGTGATGGTGGGAAAGCCAAGTTTGCTTTATTCAGGAAGCCGGCAACCTGGGAAGGCGGTGGAGTAGCTTCTCAAAGACCATCTTCCCCAATCGGGTGAAGGTGGAAAGTTTTAAAGGAGAAGGCATGGGATAAGGGGGTGGGGTGGCTGCGTGGAGGAGAAGCAGGTGCCCAGGTGCTTAGTCGTATGTTGACATGACCCTGAACAGACATGCTGGTTGGTATCTGTGGCAGTTGTTTCTAAATGTAGTCAAACCTTATCTTCTGGGAAAGTTTACTTCTTCGCTCCTTAAGGCCAGTGGTCTGCAAACCTCAAGGAAAATAGGTTATTCTGTTGCAAACCAAGGGTGCAAGCAAGGAATGCATAAACTTGAAGCAAGGTGGAGTGCCGTTACGATATCAATTAACCAAGACCTCTATGAATTCAAAAGCCAGTATAAGTTATCAGTCTCACATTGCTCAGGGATCATCGCTGTGCATAAATAATTGAAACTTTGAAAGAGGCCAGGAAGTAGATTAAAGCATGTTCCCCAGAGTTAGGCACATGAGGTGTGGAGTTACTTAGTGTGAACCTAGACTAGTGATGGTCACCTTGTAACCAATACAAGATACATACAGAAACCTAGAGTAAGCCTCAGAAACTTTCATAGCAGTTTGGCAGAATATTCTTTTATGTGTTGTATCTAATAATAAATATTGAGGACTTGTATTTGTATACTTCCCTTTTTATTTCATTTTTCTAAAATGCATTGTTACCGTATTTTCCAAAAGTACCCATCTGGGATGGCTTGGAAAACCAAAATGGGTCCTTTACCACTGAGTTGGAGGAACACTGAAGTAGGAGCTCACAGTATGCGGCTCACAATGTCCTATGAAGTTCTTAGATACTCTGATTCATACCACACTCCAAATTTTGAAAATTGGTATTTCATGCAAGATTCTACATAAAGTTTTTTAATGAAAGCAATGTTCATTTTTCCAAAGATGATTTTTTTAAGGAGAAAGAGCAGGTCTGGAATCAGAAGGGGCACAGTTCCTGCAGCTACACTTCCAAAAAGAAGCGGAAAAACAAAGTAGATGATAATACCCAAACTTTAATTCCTAGACCCAAAACTTGCCGCTAAAATTAAGCCTTTCTAGTGCAACTATCCTGAGGGCTTCCCGCAACAGAGCGGCAGGCTGATATCCCTTGCGTGTCGCGATTCTGCACCTAAGTCCTTCTTCGGGGCGGGGGGTGGGGGAGAAACCCTCAGGCGACCCAGCCGATTCTGAAGGAGCGTGGCCGGTCCTCCCGCACTCGGGCGCCGCCTAGGGACGGGAAGAGTCCGGATTGGCTCGGGCCCGGCTCCGCCCCTCGGCCTACCTCACCCCACCCCCGTCCCCCGCTCCGGCAGCGCGCCGCGTGCCGCGATTGGAGGGCTCAGCGCGGAGTCGATGACGCAAGGAGGCGGGCCCGCCGGGCTCTGATTGGACCGCGGCCGCGTAGGCGTGGCCGCGGCGGACGGCCGGATTGCTCTGCTCGGGAGGCGGTGGCGGTTCCCGGCAGCGCGGCGCGGCGGTGGGAGGGAGACCATGCGGAAAGTGGTGCTGGTCACCGGGGCCAGCAGGTGAGGCGTCTTCGGCGGCCGCGATGGCGGGTCAGGGGTCGCGGGGAGCAGGAAGTACAGGGCCGGGCCACCGCCGGCGCCCGTTCCCGGGAGGGCGCGTCCCCGGCCTTGCCCCGCGGGGCCTCGCGCGAGCCCCGGTCCTCTGTCCCCGGGTCCCCGCCGCGCCCGATCGGGGCGTCGGGCGGCTCGAGCCGCTCAGTAACCCGTGCTGGAATTAAACGTTTCGGCGGAAAGGCAAGCTGGAGCGTCGCGGGGGTCCCGTTGGGATCTGGGACCCGGGCGCTTCCCACGCGGACCCCGCCTCCGCCGGCTGGTCCGTGTGGACCTCAGTGCCCGGCGCTTAGCGTCGCGACCACGGTGTGCTCCGGGCGCCGCATCTGTGCAGGACTTTGCGCCCCAGATAAGTCTCAACACCCATGAGCGGTGCGGCGGGTTCCGGGTGGGGGGCGGAGTTGTCATTCCACCCAGAACGGGGCTAGACACCTAGACTCGCTCTTTAAAGTCACCGTCTACCTGGCGAGGCGTGGCGGGAGCGCAGACAGCCATTACCCCCAGTTCCTAGTTATTCCAGCGCTGCCCCTGTGGACCCTTGGCCTCTTCTGTCCCCTGCTCTGACTTCTCATCCGCACTTCTTGAAGAGTGGGGAGGATGACACCAACCAGGCCATTCTTCTGCCTGTTGCAGTGGGCGGTTTTGAGGGATGAAGGCAGAAGACATGTCAAACGTCATCTAAAATCGTCCCCTTTCCGTGACCTAGTCACATCTGTCTTAGTCCAGCCAGTGTGGCAGGGGTATGTGAGTGCCCTCACTGGTCGACAAGGTGCTTCCTGAGCTGGACTCTTGTCAACGAGGCACAACTGGTTTTGTGTGTTTCTTTCTTTTACGTATATGGTGATGTTATGCACTTCGATATTTATTGGAAAGACTTGCTATTCTCCAGTGAGGAAGCATAAATGTAAATACATCTGGTGCTCTGTTGGCAAGGCCCAGGCTTTGGTTGCACTCAGCCCTGCCCATCTGAGTGGTGTCCTCATTTACTGTGCAGTTTCGCAAGTAGTTTATCTGTCTTTGACTTGTGCCCTCATTCTCCTGCTCTTTCCTGGGGCCCATCTTACGTTTCCTCTTCTTACCTGCTGCTTAGTCATGTGGAGTTTGTTCTCTTCCTGTGGGTTATTCGATCACAGTGGTTGAGAGGCACTTGGCTCGTGCTGTGTTACTGAAAGATCCATCCATTCCTTATCGGGAATTTTGCAAGCTCTGGATGGTGGCAGTGATGCCAATGGGTAGTAGAGCCCTTGCCCTTGAGGGACAGAGACAGCAAAGCAAAACAGGCACCCGGGAAACGGCTAGTACGATGCTCTTCTCAGCTCTTGCTGGTGATATACTGACTCCCTTTCATGAGTGTCCTAGCCAGTAAAGAATGCAAACCGCTGGATGAAAAGTGAGTTCTCATGTGCAGTGCGCCTATTTGTGTGTTCGGGCTTTTGCAAAATGGGAGAAAAGCAAACTGGGCAGCGTCCTGAGCGAGTGACTGACTATTCAAGTTTGGTTGCAGGGGGCGGGTGTCCCTTCTTCTTTGCAATTTTTGAGTCTTTTTTCCTCTGCTGGGGCTCCTCATGGGAGCTCATGTGGACAAAGGCAGTTTTCTGAACCAGAGAGCAATGCCTCCTATGTGGCACCATCTGAACGAACGCATGTTCTGTCTCCGAATTGTCCTGGCAGTGGCGTTGGCCTCGCACTCTGCAAGCGGCTGCTGGAGGAGGACGATGAGCTGCATTTGTGTCTGGCGTGCAGGAACGTGGGCAAGGCGGAAGCTGTCCGCGGGGCGCTGCTGGCCTCTCACCCCGCTGCTGAGGTCAGCATCGTGCAGGTGGATGTCTGCAGCCTCCAGTCAGTCCTCCAGGCCGCCGGGGAGCTCAAGCAAAGGTACGCTTCTGGGTGACGGGTTTTCTCTCGCGTGATTGCATGAGACAGCAGTGAACAGAATGAGAAAGAAGAAAACCTAAAAACACAGGTGCAGTGTAACATTATGCTGGCGAGATCCGTACAGAGTGATCCGTGGTGTCTCAGGAGCACATTTTCAGGTTCAGTCATAATCGTGATTATTTCATGAGGATGAATTTGAGTATACCTTGATGTATGGTTAGTTGTGTGGACATTATGGTAACTCCTTTCTGGATACAGTTTCTGCATCTCTCCTCCATGTAACAACTTCGTTAAGTTGGACAGGTGCCTAAGAATGTTATAGGACTTGATGTTGATTGGGTTGGCCTGAGAACCCACATCTGCACCCTATTTCTTCAGAGATTTCCACACCCACCCCCCAGGCCCATAAAGATTTGTTCACATCTGCACGGTAATTGGCATCTAATAGGCGTTTGAGAAATACTTGGTATAGGAAGGAATAGAGTCCTTGGATGTACAACTCCCTGGAAAGTGTACACAGAATTGCATATAGGTGCACAATGCATTTTTTTTCTGGGGAAAGAGGGCATGCTTCATTTTTATTTTTAAATTCTAGGAGGAATTTATGACCCAAAAAGGTGGGGAGCCCGTACTAGTCCATATTCAGCCTTAAAGATATGCAGAATAATTGATTTTCAAACTTTTTTTTTTTGAAAGATTTTGTTTATTTATTTGAGAGAGAGAGAGAGAGAATGAGAGAGTGAGCATGAGGGGGAGAGGGTCAGAGGGAGAAACAGACTCCCTGCAGAACAGGCAACCCAATGTGGGACTCAGTCCTGGGACTCCAGGATCATGACCTGAGCCAAAGGCAGTCGCCCAACCAACTGAGCCACCCAGGTGCCCCTTCAAACATTTTTGTCATTGAGGTCCTTAAGAAACGAGAGCTGCTTTATTTCCTTGGACAGTAAAACGAAGTACAGTAGAAACACAGAAGGTCTTTTTGGTAAAGGCATTTGCTGAAGAATACAGCTCTGTGTTTTATGTTTGGGGGTTGCTAGCCCATTCGCGTTTCCCTGTTGCAAATGCACAAGTTACAGAGTGAAGGTAAAGCTGGTTTTCTTCATCCCGCTCTTCTAGTTTTGGCTTTAACCTCTTGTGAAATGTCCTTTCTCCTAGAATTTTTTGTCACAACATCTTTCTGAAAAACTGAAGAGGTTTTCTGGTTCCATATGCCCTGCTCTTCCGTAACCTTGAGTTTCCAAGTCTATGAAGCCGCACAAGAAATGTCCTTACTGAGTTAGGAACCCTGGAGCCAGTACAGCAGTTTTGAGCTCAAATCAGGCTTCGGGCATTCCTTTCCCTGAACCTTCTCAACCAGTTCTTTCTGTTTTGTATGGATTTAACTATATTTCCTCATTTAGCAGAAAAGAACCTTTCATCCTCAGCCAAGATAGCTCATTCCAGGCCTACAGACACATGAAAAAATGCTCCACGTCACTCGGCATCAGGGAGATACAAATCAAAATCTCAGTGAGATCCCACCTCACGCTGTCAGAATGGCTAAAATCAACAGTCAGGAGAAGACGGGTGTTGACAGGGATGCGGAGAAAAAAAATTCCCACCGTTGATGGGAATGCAAGTTGGTGCAGCCACTCTGGAAAACAGTACAGAGGTTCCTCAAAAAGTTGACAATACGACCCAGGATTCCACTACTGGGTATTTACCCCAAAGATACCAATGCAGTGATCTAAAGGGGCACGTGCACCCCAGTTATCATCATGCACTGAAATAAAGTTCTCAGACAACGATCTGAGTGGGTGTGCAGGACTGCCTCTGGGAGAGAGAGCAGCAGCTGGCTTCTGCACTTGGCTTTTGTTCTGTTTTTTATTAGAACAGCAAGGACAGATGTGGCACCATCTGAACGAATGCATGTTCTGTCTCCGAAGTGTGGGAAAGGGGTATAAAGGAACAGCGGTTATCCTGAAGATGTAAAGTAGGCCTGCACCTTTCCCTACATGTAGGCACACAGGGAGGCAGGCATGGGGAAAGGGGGAGCAGGATGTTTGCGCTAGCTATCTCCTGAGGCAGGAAGGGGGATTGAGGTTAACGTTCTTTCATAGCTCATAACCTGTGCCCTGCCCCAGGAGATCATGGGATCCTGGTCATACCGGGCTGTTGAGTTCAGTAGCCCAAGACCAGGAATGCCTCTGATGCTTCAGCTGCTTCCACAGTCACCCCTGAGGGCTGACAATACATTTTCTAAGAATAATTCCACACCAATGTTTATAGCAGTGATGTCTGCAATAGCCAAACTCTGGAAAGAGCCCAGATGTCCACTGACAGATGAATCAATAAAGAGGATGTGTGTATATATATATATATATATCTCTACACACACACACACACACACACACACACACACACACACAGGAATACTACTCAGCCATCAAAAAGAATGAAATCTTGCCATCTGCAATGATATGGATGAAGCCAGAGGGTATTATGTGAGCAAAGTAAATCAGAGAAAGACAAATACCATATGATCTTACTCATATGCGGAATTTAAGAAACAAAATAGTATCATAGGGGAAGGGAGGAAAACACAAAACAAGATGAAATCGGAGAGGGAGGCAAACTGTAAGAGACTCAGTCATAGGGAACAATCTGGGTTGCTGCATAAATCTGCATAAATCTGGGTTGCTGGAGGGATGGAGGGATGGGGTAACTGGGTGATGGACATTAAGGAGGGCACGGGATGGAACACGGGGTGTTATATAAGACTGAGGAATCACTGACTTCTACTTCTGCAACTAAGAATACACTATATGTTAATTAATTAAATTAAAAAAAAAAAAAAGAATAGCGCTTTCCAGTACAACGACTTTCAAGATTTTTGGTTGTAACATTCATAGTTATAACTATTCTCAGTTGCCTTCAAAGTTCCAAGATATTTGTCATCACAAACTTAGTAACTTTGTATTTAGTATATTAGGTCACTTAGCAGGGACTTGAGGCAGCAGGGCTGTGACGTGGGAGGGCGCATGGAGGTGCAGTGCACCTGCCGGAAGGAGCCTTGATCTGGAAAGATTTAACTTCAAAACCCATTGCAGTTCCCCAAATTCTGTTTGAAGCTACTGTCAAGGAAAGAATACTCAAATATTTACTGTGGCTGGAGAAACAACATTGAGAAAGAAGTGGTGTGACCCTCATGTGTCATGGGTCCCCTCTGGAAAGCATCTTCTGTCCTTCATGGGTTTTCTGTGTTTCAGTTGCTCTAGAGAAGATGAACAATCTTGTCTTGGTGTTTTCCTTGCAGGTTTCAGAGATTAGACTATGTCTATCTGAATGCTGGGATCATGCCCAACCCACAGCTAAACATCAAAGCACTTTTCTCTGGCCTGTTTTCAAGGTAATGTCCATTTTCTAGGTGAACCGAGTGGGAGAAATCAGTGGTTTTTCCCTCGGTAGGTGAAGTGAGGGGACTAAGGGGCGGTGGAGAAGATAAAGACAGGAAGAGTTGCATCCGTGTTTTGTGGGGGGTGCCGCAGGTCCTGGATCTCAGGTTGCTCTAGGTTTCCGGGACATCCCAAGTGGCCAGATGCCTTGGAAGGTCCATGTCTGGTCCACCGGGATGTGACCAGTAGCAGGAACATTTCAGAGCTGGGCAGAGTTGTCAGTGAGATTGTTGGAGCAATCGGCACGCCCAGCTCTGCGGCAGGGGCGCTGGCCCACAGGTGGGGACAGTACGCAGAACTGAAGGTCTCCCCCGGGAGATTCTCAAGTAACACAGTAACACAGTGTTCTCACACAGTAACACAGGGGCTGCCAAGAATGTTTGCCCACAACCTACAGTGAGAAATAAATCTTATCTTCAACTTAAAGTATACATAGATATTTGTTCTCTTCCTACGGTGCTACTTTTGTTTTACTTTTCTTCCATTACACACCCACACCCACACAAACACACACACAGATCTTGACCAACTCAATGGATCTCACAACAAATCACAAGTTAATGGGATGTGTTCAGTGCTTTAAGAATTCCCAGTAAAAAACAACCAACCTGTGTGACGTGGCAGTTAACCATCCGTTTGCACAGAGGAAGGCTTTTTCTCCCTGGTGTGGCTGTTTCTTCCCCAGAGCAGTTCACCTGCAACCTGATGCTGAAAAAAGGTGAAACGAGTTCTAGCAACAGGTTTTTTTGAGTCAGGGCCCAGTGGGTGCTGTGAGTTATAATGTAAACACTTCCCTGAATTGGGGGAAAGGAAGCGTTTTTGCATCTTATTTAAATCCGCACATGAACACAGTCTGAGAAATGGGTGTTTTTGTAGGAGCAAGGAAAATGCATTTTCGGGGCAGGGCAGGGCAACAGGGAGTGTTTTCCAGTATCTTCAGTTAAAGACGCTTTTAAAAGGCATACAACTGTCTTCTCCTGTTTCAGAAAAGTGATTCATATATTCTCCACAGCTGAAGGACTGCTGACCCAGGAGGACAGAGTCACTGCCGACGGGCTCCAGGAGGTGTTCGAAACCAACGTCTTTGGCCACTTTATTCTGGTAAAAAGACTTCGGGCTCAAGAAGCTCTCGTTAGTGCTGTAATCCTAAAAGCTTGCATGGACACGTCCCAGGCCTGTTTGTTAAGCCCATAGATCATGGCTAGCACGAAATCCTGGAGTACTGAAATAGGGGCATCACTGCACTCTATGAAAACATGGCTTCCCTAAAGCATTCGATTGACATATCCTCTTTCTTTTGACATCAACTCTAGAGAGCGGAGACAAAGTGAGAAGGAAACACACAGGGGCCTTCAGAAACAATGTACAGAAGTGAGAAAGTGGGCCGGTCCTGTCCGGAACGGTCTTTGAAGCTGGGCTTGGTGCCAGATAGGATAGGGGTGGGCAGGCCTCTGTTAAGCAAGAATCCACAATTGGTCTCTTACTGTCTTGATCTCCAATTCTTCGGGATCTGTACCGTGTGTTATAGTTCCAGGCACACGTGTAAATGTGAGTGAGAGATGTGATGCTTGTTCTCGCCTGTTTTGCGCTCTTGCTTTGGGCGTAATCCCCGAGGACAGCTGTACTGTCTAGAGGAAGTAGTGCCTGACCGTGTCGCTGGTGGCCTGTCATTCCCCGGTGTTGGAGGAACTCCGAGGCTGGGTGTTTCTGGTGCCTGTCTTCACCCCCACTCTTCTTCACCTTCAGCCTCATTCCCCTTGGCGCTGGAACTCTTCGAGCTCTCGCCTGTATTTACGGTAAATGAAGATGTAGGCAAATGTTGGGATATTTTGGACCCACTAAAAGAAATGAGATAAATGTTTTGCACTTACATGGGACAGCCTCTCGTATTTTATTATGAAGAAGGAATAGCAGAGTGCTGTATGTGTAGCGTGATCTCATTTGCGGAAACAGAAGATCTGTCTTTATGTAGTGTGTATAAATGTACATAATATTTCTAGAATGTTACAGATGAAACGAGGAGCACTGGTTGACTTGATGAAGTGGGGTTCCAGGATATCAGGGATGAGGGGGAGCTTTGCGTGTCATTCTACAACCATTAGTGCTATTTGTTTAGTGCAACATGGTGTCACTTTTTCAATGACAAAAGTTAATTAAAAATGTAGAGTTAAAATGGGATTGAATTCTTGTCTGGTCTTTATACCTTTACACAGATCCATTATCTAATATTTCCTCTATCTTTTTATAATACTTGTTCTTTGCCTTCTTTTTGAGTTATTAGTTGTTAATGCTAGAAGATAATTCTTACTAGTCTATTAATTTTGTGACAATCTAGTGTTTAAAAATTAAGTTGTTCGGAAGATCAGGTATTTGAGTCATCTGGGTTGGGGGAATGGCAGAGGAGAGCCATGGCCATGGGTGCAAGGATCACAGGTGTCCTGATGACATGGCCTATCCTTGTGTATCCTTGTAGAAGGAGGCATTTCAGCAGGGGTTTTGGAATGGATTTATCAAGTAAAATCTTCAGAAGGCTTAGAATGCTTCCCACTGTCTTCATATTAGGTTTAAGAATCTTACCACTTCCTATGGAACACAAACTTAGATTCTAGGTTCAGGTATAAATGCGTTGGATAAACAGATCATCCCTCCCCAGTTTGGTTATGTGTAACATGACCAAACTTTGGGGGCTGTTATAAAGAGTAGAGGTGGTTTCGTGATGTTCTAAGCGCAGTGTAGTGTTATAGTCCAGGAACCAGGTAACTGCTTTAATCTCATGTGTATCAGTTATATCTTGATTGCATTTGACTGACTTGTTCATTGCAAGTGTGGAGCACATCTGGGAACTTTCCTAGATTTTTCTTTAATACAGTTTTTGTTTTAGCATAGCTTTAGATTTACAGAATTTTGGCAAAGCTAGTACAGAGAGTTCTGTGTTCCCTCCCACCCCCAGTTCTCTCTACCACACTATTTATGGCAGTTGGAGAACCAATACTGATACTTATTATTAATGGAAGTCCAAACTTTATTCAGCTTTCTTCCGTTCTGCCTGATGTCCCCTTGTCGGTTCTACGACCCCTCCTGGGATACCGCAGTACACACAGTGGTTATCTCCTCAGGCTGCCCTTGGCTGGGACAGTTTCTCAGACTTCCCTTGTTTCTCATAATCTTGATGGTTTAGAGGATTCTGGCTGAGCTATTTGTCCTCAGTTGGGATTTGTCCAAAGTGCTTCTCAGGGTTAGACTTGAGTGTCCTGTTTGCGGGAGGAGCCACAGAGGTGACGTACCATTCTAGTCACATCACATTCCAGGTGTGAGCTGTCACTGTGACGTTCTCTTTGATCACCTGGCTTGAGGTAGTGTTTGTCCGGTTTTTCATCGTAGTCTCTCTTTTTATTTTTCTCTCCCTTTCCATATTGTACTCTTTGGAAGAGATGGACTATGTGTAGCTCTCCCTGAAGGGGTTGTGTTTGATGCCCTGAAGGGTCGATTAGCTGCATAAATTATTTAGAACTTTCCTGCAAGAGAGATTTGTCTGTTCTCCATCTACGGCTTTACCCCACCATTTCTTGGTCAAGTATACCTCAATAAAGCTGCAAAAATCACTTATTTTATTCTTGTGGGCTTGTAGATGTGTATTTTCTACTTTGAGATGGAAATACTACTTTATTTTCTTGCCCAGATTATTTCAGTTTGCCATTGGGGGCTCTTTGCGATGGATCCTGCATATCTCTGTTGAGAGCCTCATTGGTGTGCTTTTCTGTTTTGAGCATATCTTTTCTGGCACTAGAAGATGGTTCAAGGTCATTGGATATATTCCTGCCCCAGTCATAGAATCAGCCATCTCCCTAAGGAGAGCTGGTTCCACTTTTTTTTTCTTTTTTCTTTAAGATCTATTTATTTTAGGGAGAGAGAGAGCTTGAACAGGGGGAGGAAAAGAGGGAGAGAATCCTCAAGCAGACTCCCTGCCGAGTGTGGAACCTGACGTGGGGCTCCATCCCAGGACCCTGAGATCACAACCTGAGCCTAAATCAAGGGTCAGACACTTAACTGGCTGAGCCACGCAGGCTCCCCAAGATCTGGCTTCTCTTACTAGACAATGATGTTAGAAACCAAGATCTGGTGCTTGCTGCTGCTGCTGGAGCAGTGGCTTCCAGGCTGACAGAGCAGGGAGATACACGTGCATGATAACCCACGGGCACCTGAGTACCTGTACGTATTTTTATATGTGACCGTCTGTATCTTCATGAAGCTAAACGTCCATTCATACTGGTCTCTAACTGGTCTCTGCGGGGGTTGCTGTAGCCTCCCCTGTCGTGTGTCTGGAGTAGCCCCTCCAGCAATGACACTCCCGGTCACAGTGGTGTCCCAGCTGTCCTCCTGTGCTCCTCCAGTAGACCTTGATCCATTTGGTGGTTCCTTTTTTATCTCACTCAGATTCGGGAACTGGAACCACTCCTCTGTCACAGTGACCATCTTTCCCGGCTCATCTGGACGTCATCTCGCAATGCAAGGAGATCTAATTTCCACCTTGAGGACATCCAGCACCGCCGAGGCCAGGAGCCCTACAGCTCCTCCAAGTACGCCATTGACCTATTGAGTGTGGCGCTGAACCAGAACTTCAACCCGCGGGTGAGGCCCGGCTGGGTGAGGCGGGGGCAGCCGGGCGGTGGTTTTCCAAGTACGGCTGACTTCCTATAACAGGGCTGGCGTTCTATGAAGTGTTGTCCTTTAGAAGATGTGGTGTCGTTTCTTGAGCAGAATTTCTTCTTGCTGTGCGGACAAGAGAAGACGTACAATCACAGTTGGTGTGCATAAAAGTTTTGGGGCAGAGATAATTAGCTCCTGACCTTTTAGGTACATGGGGCTTCCTTCACCATTCTGTATCTCTTCAAGAGCTATAACTTATTGGACAGAACAACACCACTGACAAAGCCAATACTTACTGTTAAGCATGTACTATGTCTGAGGGGCTGTACCCCTTACGTGTGTGTCACTCAGTGCCTTTCCTGTCATGGTGAGTGTAGGTCTGAGTATTCCTATTTTCATGTGGTGACACCACACTTTGGAGAGGTTAGATGGCTTACCCAGAGGTCACACAACTAGTGAATGGTGAGTTGAGCCCACGGCTGTCTGACCGTGGCTTGGAATTTTCCCCCTAAACCATGCTGTGTCCCAGTGTTCGTCACAGACCGTCAGTAGTTACAAAGCCCTCTGGATAGTGGCAATCTTTGGTGAGATGCAGAGCTCTCTCTGAGGACTCCGGATGTCAGGGGTCTGTCTTTGGAGAAGGCGTCCCTTGCCGGTCATGCCGGCTCCCTGTGGCCTCTGGTCTGGAGCCTGCTGTTCTCTGGATGTCTCTCTTGCTCAGGTCTGAGACCTTCACTGAAAATTCCAGCCTTTCCCACCGCATTTTCCTTTGTTGCTTTAACTCTGCTGTTTGAGTGTAGGACTGGAGAAATTTAATTCCGCTAATATTTACCAAAGAGCTACCATGTTTAGGGCACTGGGCCAGGCTTAGGACTGAGGAGAAAGGAGAAAGAAAAAGATGACCAAGAAGCTGTCTGCCCTTGTGGGACCTTCTCTGGTAATACGTCAGACACAGAGCCTCCTGTGATGGTCCTGACTGGGTTTATCCTGGAATGGACGTCTTACCAGATAGAACTCTCTCTCCTGGAACCCTGTCTCTTAGGGGAGAGGATTGCCTAAGAACAGAAGCTGAGAGCATCTCCTAGAACTGGATTTGAATCCTTGGACAGATTATTTCATCTCCCAATGCCTCAGTTTCCTCATCTGAAAAATAGGGATAAAGATAGTGCCTGCTTCACAGATTTGTTGGGAGGGTTGAAGAGGGGGATGGCGTGAAGCACTCGCAGTAGCTCGCGGTCTCAGAATGTGTGTGTGTGTGTGTGTGTGTGTGCGCGCGCACGCATGTGTGCATATGTGAGTGAATGGGGGAGTGTCTGGACATGGGCACATGTTGGGTTGTGGGTGTGTGCATGTGTGTGTGCTGTGGGTGCACATGTGGTATGTGCATGTGTGTGGGTGTCTTGTGTGGATGGAAGGTGTGTGGTCTGTGCTGTGCCTGTGTGTGTTTAAGTTGGCTGTTGTTGTTGTTATATTTATTATTACTATTATTGTTATTATTTGAGTTCAGTGTGTTGGTCCAGTGGTCAGCCTCCTTCTGAGGTTTCTTGAGATGTTTCAAAAGTTGTCACAACTGCTTGTTCTCTGGAAGCTTCCTTTTGGGGACACGGTCAGAGTGGATTAGCATCTCTTCTCATAAAATGCTTTGGGATTTCACTTAAGTTTTTAATTGTCAGAAGCTTTGGGATTTCATCTTTTACAAGAAAGAGAGATTTAGCTAATACTGCTGCTTCTTAAAATCTGTATGATTGGTTTTCAGCCCACGGCTTTTGCTCCTCGACTTTTAGGAAAAGAGAACCACATCCTCTTGAAGGCTTGTGTCTCTGGAAATGCTGCCGGTGCATTCGGGCCACTTGCTAGAGTTTAATCAGCACCCCTCGTCCACGTCTCATAGCAGCTCTCAGGTTGCCTGTCACAGCTGAGCCTTGTGACCTATGGGGGGACCGGGTTCTCAGATGAGGCTGCCTCCTTGTTTATTTCTTGTGTCGCTCAACATCAGAACATCACAGGTGTCAGAGACCCTGGATTTCAGGTCACAGATGTCTTCCCTTAGGACTGAAGAGTCCCTAACTTCCTAGCTGGCCCCCAGAATAAGCAAGCCCCCGAAGCTGTCACTGGGGGAAAATGTGCTACTCTCTTGGGGAGAAGTTTTGGTCTCTGATGAGTCCAGGCTCTTAACTCTTTTCAGGGGACCTTTGGTAAATCAAGGGGACCCCCTGGGATTGGGTAATCTGTCAGGTCTACGGCGCCTCTGCAGCGCCAGATAAAGGAAGAGAAATGCTCCAGCTTCTGCTCAGGGTGCTCTCTGCCCACTGAACTGTCATGTTGCACTGGTGCACGGTGAAAAAGAAAATTAAAAGTAATAAAAAGCAGAGTTAAAATGGTCAATGGCTACATAAGGTAAAACGTAGTAAAAACTGAATTAAGTCAACTAGTAGAACCAATCCCCGTGCTCCCAGGTTGACTAAAGCCCACCCAGGCCTCTCCCAGCAGTGCAGGCTCTGTGTTAACTGGGCTCTCTTTCGAGGGCAGATCTTTCTAAATTGGCAGGTCCTGGGCCAAGGCCCTGATGCAGAACTTGCAGGTGTGGGGGAGGAGCTTCGTGGAACCACACGCAGCCCTTCATTCACCTCTCCTGACAGGAGTGTGCGGTTTCTGTACCTGCAGGGGAGCAGACACAAGCTTTAGGTTTAGCTGTCTGTTCTCTACCAGACCAGAAACTTCTGGAAGGCAGAGACGGTATCGTAGATGTCTTTTTTTATCTGAAGTGTTTATCGTGATCGATAAGCTGATCTTCAATTAAGCCAATCCCCGGCAAACTCCAGTAACCAAATGTGCCTTTTCTCCTCCAGCTTGAAGCTGGGTTGCTCTTTATTCTGTGAGTTTCTGGAAAGCAGAGACCTCGTCTTACTCATCGTTGCATCCTGTGCGCCCTCCTCCCGAGTCCTCCAGACAGGAATCCTTCTCTGAAATGGTTTGCCCAGAGTGCCCCAGCTTCCCGGCTCATATGCAGATCTCCCTTACTCGCAAGCCCCTGGACGGGCTGTGTCCATATTCGCTGAATCTGAATTTTACTCCGCTCCTCCCTGTGCTGCCAGGGTCTGTATTCCAGCGTGGTGTGCCCAGGGACAATGGTGACCAATTTGACCTGTGGAATTCTCCCTCCCTTTTTGTGGACTCTGCTGCTGCCCATCATATGGCTGGTAAGTGATGACACTTGTTTACTTCAGCTCTTTGACTGGGAACCAAACAGGTGGGCTTAAGGGTTGGGAAATGACTTAAGAATTAGTTGAACCATCTATACTATGGAGTGTGATGCCCATCAGAAAGGATGAACACCCAACTTTTATATCAACATGGATGGGACTGGAGGAGATTATGCTGAGTGAAGTAAGTCAAGCAGAGAGAGTCAATTATCATATGGTTTCGCTTACTTGTGGAGCATAAGGAATAACACGGAGGACATGGGGAGATGGAGAGGAGAAGGGAGTTGGGGGGAACTGGAGGGGGAGACGAACCATGAGGGACTGTGGACTCCAAGAAACAAACTGAGGGTTTTGAAAGGGAGGGGGGTGGGAGGTTGGGTGAGCCTGGTGATGGGTATTAAGGAGGACACGAATTGCATGGAGCACTGGGTGTGGTGCATAAACAATGAATTCGGGAACACTGAAAAGAAATTAAAAAAAAAAAAGAAATTTTAAAAAATTAATTAATTAATTTTTTTAAAAAAGAATTAGTTGAACCAGAAGGTGGCAGAGTTTCATTTCATTTGAAGTTTTTGACGATCCTCAATGTGTAAGCTCTGCTTCAAACAACCTGTCCTCGCTGCCTCACCGTCCGAGTGTCTGCTTCTCTGCAGGAGCCCGTGTCTCTGATCATGCCCTAAAGCTCCCGAGAGTTCTAGGATGACGTCACTCTGAGAAACCCTTGTTAAGTGATATTAAACTGGATTTCTCCGAGCTCTCAATGTGGTCAAATGCGTTAAAAGTCCCCAGGAAGGGAATGGTTGTACATTGTGTGGCCACGGAACTGTGTTCTTGCGTGTTTGTGTTGCATTTCTTGGAGGATCAGCACCCCTTTAGCACACCTTAGGAAATGCTGCTTGTAAGAAATGTTTCTTTCTTGCCCTGGGGAGCCCTGGGGGAAAAAAATGCCCCTTCATTATGACAAGTGTAAGAAAAAGAGGAGAAGGAATTATGCCTCCATGTTAAAAAGTGGTTGGCTCAGAGTGGTGAAAATTAAGTGATACTTCTTTTTTAGAATTTTTTCTCCACTTTCAGTACTTAGAAAATGTCCTGTGATGAGAAATGCAGGTTATCTTTTTTAATATGTAAATGAATAATGCTTCTGTTCTACCCTGCCACAGAATGACACTTCTTTTCTTTTCCTCAGATTCGCTTTTTTGCAAATGCTTTCACTTTGACGCCGGACAACGGAACAGAAGCCCTGGTACGTTGGCTAGAGTTGCAGTCGCTTGTACGGTTGCTTAGCAGATGTGAACGGAAGTTCACTGGGAGTGGAAGCTGTCTCAGCAGAAGAGATCAGCTCTGTAATAATCATCAAGGTCCTGTTCTGGACTACACGGGACCAGGAGCCCGAGGACAGAGTATGAGGAGTGAAATTTAAAAGTAGTATTTACCATAGTGCTGGATACCGTGTGGTATGGACAGCATTTCTGCCGAAGCTAGATGCATATCAGCTAGGGGCAGAGCCCCTACTGCAGGCAAAGCAAGATGGCAGCCAGGCCAGCGGTTCCCATGGAGAAGGTGCATCTTGCAGGCCAAGAGGGCAGGTGACACAGTCTAACTCCATTTCCTTATATGAAGATTCTCTTTCCTCTGTTTATATATTAGAGAATCAAGCTATTACTTTATTAGAAAGGCAGTGCATGTTCTTAAATCCCACGTGGCAAACGGATTACATGGGTTTCCTCATCAGTGGCAGACATTACTAATTACACAAACATTGTCTCTGATGATTCGTTAACCCAGGGCCCCAAAGGCACCTTGCGCTCATGGATCAGAATTGTCACACCAGATGAAGCTTATTTGTCCTGTGTCACTCTAGTGCTTATACTGAGTAGGCTCTTAAATCTTGGCTGAATTGAAATTAACCAAGGAAAACATTGAGGGAATCGGTTGGCACTCTTATTTTGGTAAACGTTGCAGAAATAAATGCGTTTGTCATAGGAACACAAATGGATTGTCAAAGCCAGTGCTTTTAAACCAGTTTTAATTAGTCCTTCATGTATTTGCCAAAGCATTAGAAATAGCACGTGGTCCTTCAGAGATTATGGACTCGAACATCTCAGATACTGAAAACCAGGTGTGGAGGTCAAGTATGTATTGAGTACTGGTGGTGTGATGAGGAGTTAGAAGACAAAATCTCCAGTTACTAAGGAGCTTAGGGTCATGTTTTGGAGGGGAAAAAAAAAGGAATGTAGAAGATAGGCAAGAAAATAAGTCATTTTGTCATCGGGTGGTGAGAGTCGGAGTGATCCGAAAGGAGGACCGTTGGAAGCCAAGCTGTTGGGAGCAGGCTTTGCTCACTAAGTAGGGCTTGATCTGGGCTCTCAAGGATGAACTGGATCTGGATGGGACAGCATGACCCAGGTCACAGTTTAAAAAATTTGTGACCCTGCTGTAAGTTCCTAAAATGTGGATGAATGCCTCCAACTGCCACTTAGTAATGGTTGTAGACGCTGGTAGATATGGACCCATGAGGGTTTGGGCCTAGCGCACGTGTGGTGATGCCTCTGCAGCCCCGGTCCTCAGGCTCCTTACGTGGACTCGGCTGGAGTGGCCGAAGGCACTGTGGTTCAGCATGTGGGCTCTGGAGCTGGACTGGTTCTCTTCAAATCCCACTTCTCCAGCTTCTGGCTATGAACTACTGCGGTGCATTTTTTCACTCACTTAAGCCTGTTATTATCTGTAAAACAGGAATTATGGGAAAGCATTAGAGGAAGCTTACCGTAAAGGATTTTGTGTATTTCAGCACTTAAGATTTTAAGGAAAACTATGTAAATGAAAGCAGTATAGTGCTGGCATGTGACTCGACAGATGAGTGGAACAGAAAAGAAAGTTCAGGACAGGCCCGCAGCACACAGGGGTCTGGTGTATGATAGTGATGGCATTCCGGATTAGTGGGGGAGAGGGTTACTCAGCAAATGTTGCCGAAAAAGAGAAGAGGATCTTTTCTTTAGACCACACACCCAAATAAAATTCTAGATAAATTGAAAGATTTACACATAAAAGTTAAAATATACAATGACTAGAAGGAAACATGGGGACATGTTTAAATAGTTTAAGAATGTGGGTGCTTAGCTACTCCCAGAACTGCAAGAAAAAATACTGAATATATTTTTTTAAGATTTTATTTATTTATTTATTTTTAAAGATTTTATTTATTTATTTGACACGGAGAGAGAGATCACAAGTAGGCGGAGAGGCAGGCAGAGAGAGAGGAGGAAGCAGGCTCCCCATTGAGCAGAGAGCCCGATGCGGGTCTTGATCCCAGGACCCTGAGATCATGACCTGAGCCGAAGGCAGAGGCTTTAACCCACTGAGCCACCCAGGCACCCCTTTAAGATTTTATTTATTAGAGAGAGAGAGAGCACGCATAAGCAGGGTAAGGGCGTAGGCAGAGGGGGAGGGAGAAGCAGTCTCCCCACTGAGTAGGGAGCCCAACCTAGGACTCTATCCCAGGACCCGAGATCATGACTTGAGCCAAAGGCAGACTCAACTGACTGAGTCACCTATGTGAACATTTTGATTACATGAAAATAATCAAATTTCGCATGACCAGAATCCTCACCATGTAAATCCACTCCAAAGACTAACCACGATATGGAAGAAGAGTAGCTGATGCTCATAGCCTAGGAAAGGGATCGTTTTCATACTAGTTAAGGAGCTTCAGCAAATCGAGAGAAACAGCCTTTTGGAACAGTGGGCAAAGGGTGTGACTAGAGAGTCTTTAAACTCTTAAACACGTGAAAAGGCACTGACCCTCACTCATGCTAAGAGACCTGGAAATCAAGATTGTGATGAAAGACGGTTTTTCAGCTCTGTTCAGCAGAGATGAGGACGTTTGGCACCCATGGTTGTGGCAGGGCCGTCGGGAGCGAGCATTCTCCTGCACCGCCTCAGGGCCGGTGCACTGATGTGGCCCGTGTCTGGGACCGTTTAGCAAGGTCATTCAAGATGACACACACCCAGCCCCTCGGCCCAGCAATTCCGTCTTTGGTGTTTGTCTCAGATTCGCACGAGGTGACTGATGGATGCGTCATTTACTGCTGTGTGTTTTGTAAAAGCAAAGACTGGAAACACGTGTATGTCCGTCATTGGAAATTGATTGCGTAAATGATGGTCCATCCACGAGATGCGGTACTGGGCTTTCTTTAGCAATGAGTGAAACAGCCTCTATTTGCTGATTCGAACCTATTTGGAAAGTCGTCTTGTTCAAGAGAAAAATGCAAATTATGCAATAATGTGTATATTTTGCTGCCATTTGAGTAGGAGAAGAGGACATACGTGTTTTTAAAGACACAGATTTTCTTCGGACGAATATGTAAGATACCAGCAAGAGTGCTTGCTTCCGGAGAGGACTGGTGGGTGGCTGGAACATCGGGACGGCAGGGAGACTCGCCTTCTACCACGCACATCCTCTCAACAGGGCGTGTTCAGGCTTACCTATTAAGAAAATGAAACATTACGGCCCAGCAGCAGCTCTGAAAAAGCTAGTCAGTGCTGTGCACTCTGATTTGGGGATTAAGGGAAGAGACAGCTTAAACATGAGGGTTTTTCCTGCTTTAAGTAAGTGTACAACGGATACTACGAAGCAGGTTGCCCTGGTGGTTCGCGAAGATGTCAGCGATAGCTGGTGCTGGTCAGGAGAATGTTTAGGGCTCGGTAGGGAGCTGGTCAGCGATCCCCACCAGCCTCACTCACCTGGGGCCGAAGAAGAAAATCACTGACGTCCTCTTCCTTCCCAGGTATGGCTTTTCCACCAAAAGCCGGAGTCTCTCAACCCTCTGACCAAGTACCTGAGCGCCACCACTGGCTTTGGAAGCAATTACGTAACGACCCAGAAGGTAAGCGTGTTTGCACGGTCGCGTGGAGGCGGTTCACTGCTCTGCTGCTGAACCGGTCCCCGGCTCCTGGCTGCCCTCCCTGGTTTCCCTCTCTGGTCACTGGCATCACACCAGCCTGTTTTCATCCCGGTCTGCTCTCGCCTACCTCCGAGCCGTGCGTGTCTTCTTCTGTCCACCCGAACGGCTCTGACCCTTCTGCTTTCAGCCCACTGATTGCTGCTTGGGTCTCAGACGTCCGCTTGTATCCCAGCCTTCTGTGACCCGTCAGGCCGTCCGGAGCCTCCATCATAGGCTTTCTTGACATCTCGTACTTCTTCTCTGTAGGATTCACTCAGTGTTGGACTCCTGTGTCCGGATATAAGCACTGTGAGGGGGAGGATTGTACCCCTTCCCTAGCATGTTGCCTCGCACATGGGAGGCGCACAAGAAGCGGGTTGCCAAGTGGATGACATAGAAGTGTCTTTCTGGGTGAAGTTCACGTCCCTTTGAGCGTTCATTTCTGCTTGTGACAATTATTAGCTCCGATCGATTGGTATTTTCAAGAGGCAGGGGATGAAGTATGGAAAAAAGAACCCTTGGTGCTGTGGTTTTTAGACCCTGTATAGTCTTCTAAAAGGAAGCTAAATGTGGAGTTACATATAAGAAAATGAGAAAGTTTATTTGGAACTTATAAAGCTATATTTCTTGTATTTTTGTCATGAGTAAGATTTATTTCAGCCTCCTGTTTCCCATTGCCTAGTTTATGTGAGAGACATTGGCATAAAATAAAATTAGATTGAGACAAATAAATTCTCTCAATGTCCGATAATTGGCAGTAGTCTTGTCTGTGTCAGTAGCTTGAGGTCTAAGGGGAACAATTCTCTTGCTTCCCATGGTATCTCTTTACTAAAAAGGAACCTATGAACCTCCAGTGTTCTCCAGAATATGTTCTGTGAGATTCTGGTTCCTTGAGAAGATTGGCAAAGAGCTGTTTATTGGCCAAGTAAATTTGAGAAATGCTTCATATTTTACTCCCCATTTTCAGAGACTTCCACAAAACACATTTGTCCAGAGAAGGCTCTGAGAAGGTGCCGTAGTTCACAGTGTGAGTGTGCGTGTGTGTGTGCAATGTTTCATCCTACCATTTCCAATTTTTTCTTCACTACATGATTTTTTCCCTTCACATTTTATGTAATACTTAATAATAACACAGAGAACACACCTTGGGAACTCTGTTATAAATTAATAAGCTTCCTTTTAAAAGAGCCCTCAGAGTTTGTTGAACATACTGTGAATTAATCTCAAGAGACTGACTTGTTTATCATAGGGAGAAAATGCTTCATTCTACAAACCAAAATACTGCATTAGCATTTTATGGAAATGGGTTGAAGAAAGCGTTTTAAAAACTTTGATTAATTTGGGCAAGTCACCTTTCTCCTCTGTTCTGAGGTGGAGTTGAACGAGGTCTCTAATGTCTCCTCCAGTCCCAGTATGGGAAAACTGATGAGATTTATAATAAACATAAGTGTTAGTTCAAAATGCTAAAAAGTTTTTAATTTTCAGCCTTTCAGCCTTGTGAAGAAGAGTTTTTTTGTTTTGTTTTGTTTTGTTTTGTTTTGTTTAAAGTTTAGGCTCTGTGTTGACCAGAAAAAGAGATACTGCTTTATTTTTTTATAGGGCTTGAGAGTTTGCTTTACATACAGTGTGAGTTAAAATTAGATTTTCTACATGAAACAGAAGGGTGTGAACTAGCAGCAGATTAAACTGGATGGGAGCTCAGGTTTCCTGCAGGTGAAAGCAGTTTTGAAGAGAGGTCGCCTCAGGCTGGTGGGGCAGCTCCCCAAATTGCCAGGCACCAGGGTCCTTCAGTCCCCTTTGCCTCCCTGGGGTGTGAGCCTCATTCTTGTGCCTCGGGAGAGCAGGATGGAAGGAGGGGGAAAGAAGAGGGTGCCCAGGCCTTCCAAGCAGACTTGTGGGCAGAACCACCCACTTTTACGAAGATCTCATTGGCCAGAGCAGAGTGACTTCCTGTGGAGCCTGGCAATGTGGGCTTTAATCTGGAGGCGGGTGAACCCGGCTAACGTTTGGCTCTTTACGAAAGAAGGTGGCCATTAAGTGGATGGCAGTTCAATTTCAAAAAAACTTTTTTCTCTTTGGTCCTTACATCTCAGTGGGCTGGGGTCCCCTGTGACTGGACACGCAGGTGTCAGGGGAGAGAGCGAAGCCCGCAGTCTTCCAGGCTTGCCATGTAAGGGCAGCCTGCAGAGGTTTGCCGAGGCGTGAGTTTGGACTGAACACGTCCTCAGGATCTGAGGCAGGAACCCAGCCTGACCTACCAGGCCTGTTCTTTTTCTTTTCTTACTTTTTTTTTGGTTCTCTCATGTATGTTGAGTGCCTTTGTTTTACACAAATGCCATTTGTTTTATTTTTTCCTTTCTGTTCATCCCTATCTTTGCTTCTTTTCCAGATGGACCTAGATGAAGACACTGCTGAAAAATTTTACCAAAACTTACTGGAACTGGAAAAGCAAGTTAGGGTCACCATTCAAAAAAAACAAATAATCAGAGCTGATGATGGCACCCCCTGAAACACCGCAAACCTACCGTGAGCTCTGGGTTTCCGTTGAGTTGGGTGATGTGCCTGTGTGGCAATCGCTGAGCTGTAATTGTCTCTTTTCCCCGGTTTCAGGATTATCTCTTAAGACTGTGTATGTGTGCACGTGTGTGTATACATGAGAAAAAGATTGATAAGTAGAATATGAGTTAGATGTTCTCCAGAACGGTGTCACGTCAAAATTGTGCTCGAGTCACCCAATCAAGCATGCGCGTATTGGTTCTACCGACTGGAGCCCAAGCTCTGCTTGGTGGGATGAGGTCTGGACTCGAGTGGTTGTGACAGAGGCACTCACCGGTCCTCCTTTTGGCCTTCCCGAGCAGGAGGAAGTACTGTCCACTCCTTGAGTGGTCATCTGAGCTTTGTTCCTTTTCTCATGGACAGTTTTCTTAGGTCTTATACCTAATTTCTCCTTCCATGTGCTGCTTCTAGAAATCCTGAGATTGTGGGGCATCTGGGTGGTTCAGTCAGTTAGGCGTCCGACTCTTGATTTCAGCTCAGGCCATGATCTCAGGGGTGAGAGATTGAGCCCTGAGTTGGCCTCCATGCTCAGTGTGGGGTCTGCTTGGGATTTTTTCTCACCCTCTCTCCCTTCCGCACTCACATAAACAGGCTCTGTCTCTCTCACTTAGATAAATAAAATCTTTTAAAATCTGAGATTGTTAGAATCCTAACAGTCCTAATACGGATACCCACGTAGTTAATTGCAGGAACAAAAGTGTATGTGTTGGGGCCTTGAATTATTTCTTCCCTTGGAAGTGTCTTTCATGGATGTCGAGGTAGTCTGCGTTAATATTGGGCCTGACCTTTAACACCGTTGGCAGATTTGTTCGTTGCTAACCAACCTGTTTTTCATGATTATATTTTAATGTATGTAAACTTGCAGCAAAAAATTATTTACTCAGATTTTTCAAAGAAATTTTCTAATTGAATAATTGCAGGTGGGATATTTGCTGGTATCAGCAATGGTTGGAAGTGGTTTGCATATGAAGACAAAAATGCTAAAATGTCTAGATGTTTTTACCCTACCTATAACCACTATTCTTGGAAGATAGTAAAGTGAGCAGAATTTTGAATGACTAATAAAGGTGAAAATTTATATAGAAATATAGTTTTTACACATTCTAAGTATGAATTTTTGGTTACAGTTTCTCTTATTTTGTTGGTAAAGATATTTTTAATAAAGTTAAGCATCCTGTATGTGAAAACGAGGGCTGAATGCTTCTGCACGCTCCCCGCTGTCTTTGAGAAGGAAGAGTGGGGTTGGAGAGCTGAGAGCAGCACTGGGCTGTGCTCTTGGGATTGCTCACACCGCGATTGTGCGAGAAGCGCATAATTGTGAATCTCAGGTTCCTCCTCTGTGAAGTGAAGTGGTTCTCTTTGTGCTCCCTCCGCTCGGGGGTGTGGAGGAACGTTAAAGGCAATAATATGTATAGTGAATAATGAGCATCTTTGAGAATGATGACAGTACAGTTCTTCTCAGAGATGGAGAAGCCAGAATGTCATGGTTCCGATGTTGGGGCGTAAGGCACTGGGCGACACTGTCCCATCTGACTGAGAGTGGGTTTGGTTTTGAGTATAGGACCTGCACTGAGGAGGCAGCATCTGGACAAGCAAGAAGGTACCAGGGACGAGTGTGGGCACTGGGATGGGGAGGACACTGGATAAATCTGGGTCTAGTCATTAACTAACTTGATAACTTATGGCAAATAACTTCAATTTGTACCTTGATTTAGTTACAAAAATACTGCAACCAGTGCTTACCTTGAAGATTTGTAAGACTATGTTCTAGTAGATGTGTAGTCAGTACAAACTTAATTACTTCTGTTCTGTAGTAAGTGCCCAAAAGGAGACTTGAAGAGGGAACTAAATCCTGGTATCATGCCATTTGTGTTGTGTCAGGTTGGTGCTCTGTATATTTTCTGATCCATTTTATCAATTTCCTTGAAATGGAGAACAAATCACAGCCCCCCCATCCCTTTTCCCCTCCCAAAGTACGTACACCAAGTGGCATATGTCAATAGTTGGTTCTTGTCATTAAATCATCCCAAGTTCCAGTTTTTATACCTGAATTTGGCTACTAGGTTGAAGATTCACCTACTAGGAGTTGGGCTCCAGGAGATGCCCGAGTTTTGTCTTATAAATGGCTACTCTGATTTCTTCGGGCTGCTGCACGTATTCTTTTTTTTTTTTTTTTTAAGATTTTATTTATTTATTGGACAGAGAGAGAGATCACAAGTAGGCAGAACAGCAGGCAGATAGAGAGGGGGAAGCGGCTCCCTGCTGAGCAGAGAGCCCGATGTGGGACTTGATCCCAGGACTCCGGGATCGTGACTTGAGCCGAAGGCAGACACTTAACCCACTGAGCCACCCAGTCCTCCAGGCTGCACGTGTTCTTATTTCCATGATGGATTTAGTGTAAGTCATTCATTCTGCAGATATGTTTCAGGCACTGGCTGTAAGCCCAGCACTCTCGAGTTTTGAGGATAGAGAGTGGACATGTGAAGATAGAATGGGACATTTCAAAGTGTATTTATTAGGTGTTCCAGAAAGAAGGAATTGAGAAATGTGAAAAAGGCACGATTTGAAGAGATAAAGCTGAGCATTTGTCAGTGTCAAAGGTAGCCGTGATCGTCAGATTGAGGAAACATGACAAGTCTCAAACACAAGCTCAGATATGGGGAAACTGCTGAGAGCCCGAGAAGCTGACTTGCCAGTCAGAGGAAAGAGATCACTAATGGGAGTTCTTGAGGCTAAGGGCAGGTTTCTTCCCGTGTTACCTTTGAGAAGACAAGAAAAAAGTAAGTGTAGAGTGAAGTGAAACCCATCTGAGCTGTAACTTCAGAGTGAAGCTGAAATAAAATTTTGAGACAAAGTTACAAGTTTATCTCTAACCCTCACTGACAGAGGTTACCTCTAACATTCCTTTTTTGAAAAAGATTCCTGGGGGGTGCCTGGGTGCTTAGTGCTTAGTGCTTAGCAAAGCCTCTGGCTTTGGCCCAGGTCTTGATCCCAGGGTACTGGGATCGAGCCCCATGTCGGGCTCTCTGCTCAGCGGGGAGCCTGCTTCCTCCTCTCTCTCTCTGCCTGCCTCTCTGCCTACTTGTGCTCTGTCAAATGAATAAATAAAATCTTAAAAAAAAAAAAGATAACTGGAAGAGGTATTTGAAGAAGAAAATTGGAACCTGCAAGGGAGGAGTGAGATACAAAAGGAATAATGACCAAAGATACTTTCAAATATGTAGATAAGCCTTAAACTCTGACTTTATAAAACAATAATAAAAATGGCTGGTTTCAGAAGGAAAAAAGGCAAAGTGTCAACAGGTAAGCTGGGGGAGTTGACTAAAGATATTTAAGACTCAGGGCGCCTGGGTGGCTCAGGCGGTTAAGCGGCTGCCTCTTGGTTTTGGCTCAGGTCATGATCTCAGGGTCCTGGGTATCGAGCCCCGCATCGGGCTCCCTGCTCAGCGGAGAGCCTGCCTGAGATTCTCTCCCCATCCTCTCTCTCTGCCCCTCCCCCTACTTATGCACACTCTTTCTCTGTCTCTCAAAGAATCAACAAATAAATCTTTAAAAAGGATATTCAAGATAAGACTCAGAAGAAAAAGGTTTTGGTGAACTTTATTTTTTTTTAAAGATTTTATTTATTTGAGAGAGAGAGTGAGAATGAGCACAAACAAGGAGACGGAGAAACAGACTCCCTGCTGAGCAAGGAGCCTGACTCAGTTTTGATCCTAGGACTCTGATATCATGATGTGAGCCAAAGGCAGATGATTAACCGTCTGAGCCAGGCGCCCCTTTGGTAAACTTTAGGCGTTAATATGTCTAAGGTACCTATTAGACTTTTAACGGCAACCTTATGGTACACAAATAGGATATACAATTTCTAAATCAAAAGCGGTTTTAAAAAAAGGAACACCCAAGTCATCCAAAAAGAATAGAATAGGGGAGAAGGGGAGGATACTCAGAAAAAAGAATTATCAAATTAGATCTTTAAAATATAAACAGGTAAAAATGAATATAATTGGGATAAACAAGATATTAAAAGACTAATTACCAGAGTGGGTTAAAAAATTTTTTTTTACAATGACAACTTCTAAAACATGAGAGTATATAAAGGTTGAAAGTAGGAAGTTGAGAGAATGTATGCCCAGCAAATCTAATGAAAGCCAGTGAGGCATTTGCATAGAGATGCAAATACCAGAAAAATAAGACTTTGAAGTGAAAGCATTTTTAAGGACTAAGTGAGTTCTTGACAAATGATGAGATAAAGCACCATGAAGGTATGGTAATTATAAAACTGTGTGTGCCTTTAATGCTTCAGATGTAAAAGGCAGAAGTTTACAGAATTACAGGAGAAGTTGGCAATTTCACAATTTTAATAACTTCCGTAGACCTCACTTAATGGGTTTTTAATCACACAAAAATTTCAGTAGGCATATGGAAGATAAGAACACAGTGAGCTTGTTCTGATGAATATGTACAAGGAACTCACCATTGCAGAGAACCTGATTCTTTTCAAATCCACGTGGGACAGTATAAGAACTAATCAAATATTAAGACCTCAAAGTAAGTCTCCGCAAATATTCAAAAATGTATATTATACGGACCGTGTTCTGTAATCACAGTGCATTGATAAGGTAACAAAAAAAGAATAAAGAAAACCGCGTTAAAACTCATGGGTCAAGGAAGAATTCATATTGGAATTTAGAAAAGATTTGTGATTAAACAATGAAAATTCTACATGCTGATGAATAAAACTCATCTAAGAATTACTAAGAGAGAGACTTGTAGATGAATAGGTTATAAAAAGACTGAAAATTAATTACTTCATTCTTAAGAAGCTAGAGGGGAAATACACAAATTGTAAGAAAGCAGAAGGAAGGAAAAGATAAAAGCAGAAGATAATGAATTTAACAATACAGTGAAGAAGAATAATTAAATGAGAGTTGATTCTTTGAAAAGAAAGATAGGGAAATTTCTGATGAGATGAATATATGAAAAGATAATAGGTACTAATAAAAATATAGGACCAAAAGGGGGACATAACTACAGAAGTAGAGATTTTTAAAATGGGAGAAAACTAAGAAAAAGTTTGTACCTTTTTGGCAAAACATTTATGAGAAAAAAATGTACTTTACCAAAATGGACGCAAGCAGAAACGGAAAACCTGAGTGACTTACAACTATTGAAGAAATATGCATTAAGAACATCCTTTTCTTCTTTGCGGTTATAAAAGGACTGTCCAAAGATCCTTGTGATTATGGGACTGTCTGTATCTTGGTGGTGATAGCAGATACACAAACCTGTAATTGTGATAAATTGTATAGAACAAAATAAACACAACCTTACAAATATGTACAAGAAAACTGAGGAAATCTGGAGAAGGTTTATCACTGTTGCTGGCCTCCTGACGCTTAACTTGTGTTATAGTTTTGCAAAATACTATCCATGGAGGAAACTAGAGAAAAGGCACATGGAATCTTTCCGATTTCTTACTCCTGTATGTGAATCTACGATTATTTCAGTAAAAATTTCAAGTAAAAAATATACATCATCCCCACATACCAGATAAGATTACTGACAAATTCCTCCAAACATCAAAAAACAAATCTTCTCAGTCATATACAGACTCTTCCAGATCTTTGAAAAGGAGGGCCTATTATGATGATCATCTTACGAAGCCAGCATCTTTACTAAAACCAGACAAACAGGGCGCCTGGGTGGCTCAGTGGGTTGGGCCTCTGCCTTCGGCTCGGGTCATGATCTCAGGGTCCTGGGATCGAGTCCCGCATC